GCAAACCGGAGAAAGACGCAAATCACGCCATTGAATATTCTTTTCATTATGAGATTACGGTAATGAATTTTATTGAATTTTACATGTTTTTACATGTTCTCGATTGATGCTTGGCAAAAAAAAACGCGTGATTTTCGCGCAAAAATATTCTAAAGTAGTCTAGAACAAAGTTTGACTTGTCAAAATAAGTTTTTTCTTTAAAAGAGTGTCTTATTTTGAGATTAGAGTCAAAAAAAAACAAAAAAAATAAACTCTTGCTACGAAATACAGTACTTGAAGATGTTTTTGATAAATAAACTTAAAGTATTTATGATTTTATATAAAGTAGAGAACTTATAGTGAAGCGAAGAGTGTACTTTGTGTACTAGTGTACTTTGTGTTCTCGCAAATGCACGCTTTTCAGCACACTGGATTCCTCGGATGATCGGGAGTGTTTCTACATTGAAAATCTGTCTCATTAGCTCACTTAGGGTTTACCAGAAAGCTCGCGTTTATGAGAGCACGAAGTATGAGAGCCGACTGTTCTTAAACACTATCAAGTTTGAGCTAAAGACTAAGCTTGTGCTTGTGCTTTTTCGAGTCTAAACTCTGCAAATCAATTAATTTATACTGTATTATGTACTCTTAAAATAGAACTCTGATACATAATAGCTCTATCTGATACATGATACATCAGCTACAAAATATGAAAGCACTCAAAAAAACGTTTTTCTCTGGTTCACTTAATTACGATAAAAATTTAGCTGGAGACTTTGGGCCTCAAAGGCTCAAAGGCTGTAATTAGAAATGATACACAAGCTGTCAACCCTAAATTTTGTGTAGAATAAAAACCGAAAATTTGTTCATCTAATTGGTGTCGACATTTTCGTCGAAAGTTTGTCTAAGTTCTAGGAATTGGCTTAGGGTTTTGTTGAGAAAAGAATTGGGGATTAGAAAGTTAGAAGTTAGAAAGAAAGACAAGTTAGAAAGAAAGACAAGTTAGAAAGAAAGACAAGTTAGAAAGAAAGACAAGTTAGAAATCATCGTTAGAGCTCATCAAATTTGTGTCATCACTTCAAGGGAAATGAAGTTGGATAAAGTTTAAAAATCTAATGAAATGGAGGATAAAACTGAGCCTGGGATATCTAACGGTGGTTGTAGACAAAAATAATAGTTGAGTCTTATAATTTGCAAAGGTATAGGGATTACTTAAAGCTATCGTTGCATTTTATCGTCGGCCACAGTGAACTCGATCTCTTCATCTGGGAATTTGGATGTGAATTTGGGAATTGTCGGGAAAATCGCCTCAAGAAATCATTGAATTCAATAATTCAAGAATTCATAAGAAGAATAAGAACGAATCGTTAATAATTAATAATTAAAGAAAATGAATCAATGGGATCAATTGCCCATTGATTCATTTTCTTCCACTGCCCAACCTTTCCCCCGTGTTCACTTCTCCATTTACTGATCATAACTTAAAGCTACCGTAACTCCCAAAGTATTGTACAGACTTTAGAAAGGTTTAGAGCATTGTACAGACTTTATTTAACAATTAGTGTCGTATTGTTTACTGTGGTTTTGTGATAAAATAGTTTGATTAGATTTTTAAGTTAATATAGATATTTTTTCATTTCTTATCGAGTCATTTATTTTCTTTCGATAGCTTTGAATAGGTTGAAGGATACATCTGATCGTATCCTTTTATGATTAGAGTTCGTCTCTAATGAGTTTTCTAGAATATAACTATTTTCGAAAGCTTCATTTCCACCACATCCAATGAGCTCACTTTTTGTGCCATTTATTGAGTCTTGTACGAAAATTGTGCTCATCAAATGAAAACTTCGGAGATTCCGGTAGTTTTTAGATAGCTTTTAGATAGCTTTTAGAAAAGCTCACTCTAATTACAATTTACTGTAGCAATAGGACTTCTTGAAGTTGAAGATTTCCAATAAAATTCTATAAAACTAAAGGAGGCGGAGCTTAAACGAGAGTCGGGACAAAACAATCGGGAAAACAATCACCGTATCCTCTTTTGAAAAGAAAACGATTGAGATTTTGTGGAGCTAAGGGTGTGGTCCAAATTAGGACCAATTCTCATTAAAATCTCTTGAGTATTTAAGGAGTTTTTGGTTTTGTACGATGTCGAATTTGTAGCAAAAAGATAGGCAAAGATAGTCAAAGAGGGCCAAAATTGGACCCAAGATTCTGAGCATCGTGATCTTTTGATGAATAAAATCATTAGATTACTGACGATAATTTTGTTTTAGTGAGAATCGATTCAAATTCAGACCCCTCCTTTCAGTTACGATCGATTATTGTAGCTCTTCCAAAGTTTAACACGACAATGAGCTCAATCGTTCAAAAACTACACGATTCGCAAATGAGATTTGCTCAATCTCTGATTTGCATTCCATTTGCAATCTCTGATTTGCATTAAATGTCAAATATAAAGTTCACGCACTAATCTAGCGCATTTTCTCTTCGCATTAAACTTTTGTAAATCTCTGTCGCAATCACTTGTTTACAAAGTAAATAAGCATCCGGGTTTTCTCCGAAGAAAAGTCAAATTGAGGATTAGGATTAGGAAAATCGACGTATGTATTACATTTTGACATTTTCAAGCTCCAAATGATGCAAAGGCTTTCGCTGAAAGAGTTTCGGAAAAACTGGTAAATACTTGGGAAAAGGTCATGATGCTTTTCTTATTGATGTAGTGAATGCTCGACAAATAGACGACAATTTAAGACACTATTTCGTCAATTGACTTTCAAATTAAAGAATTTATTTCATTGAAAGGATTAGTGGGCTTTTGTGAAAGTGCTGTTCAATTTGCGGATTATGATGTAGAGTCAATTTTGGGGGTAATTATCTCATTTGGAAAAGTAGATGGATAGCATATGGGGAAAAGCAAAGAATGTGCTTCGAGTATAGGGGAAATTATTGTAACAGAGTAAGGAGATACCCGAGACTGGCTGAAAAACAACAACATTGCAACTTTGGACTGGCCCGTTCAGTCTCCTGACTTCAATCCGATAGAAAATTTATGGGGAATACTCTTCTTTTGCTTTAACAGTGCTTTATGATTCCTCCTCAATTCAAATAGTTTGTCAATCGAAAGAAGACGTAGCCTAACGATACGAAAACTTTTTCAATCGATCAGCCATCAAGAGATTTGAGCTTAAAGTTAGATTGTTAGATTTCAATCCAATCTATCTATTTGATGTTTTTTGATATTTTCTTCTCGAACTTCTTACTCATTCCGCTCAATCATAACAAATCAAAGAATCAAACCATCTTAAAACCATATTTTGTTAGTTGACCACATGACTTTTCTCCCAAAAAAAAAAAATTCCGGAAAAGGTAGGCAAATAAACACGGAAATCCCCAAGAAAGTAAAGGTGACAAGTCTCAAAAATTAAAATCTGCTGAGGGATTTTCCCCCTCACTTATCTCTTTGCAAAATCCGATATAAACAAGTAAAATTTAGAAGGAAATTCTAGTGAAATGTCATCCACGTGGATGAGTGTTGAATGAGTGGATTAAATCGAGATCATCTAAGTACAACAGGAACATAAACGACAACAATCGTTTAAGGTCACACGATTAGCTACAAGGGATTACTCGTATGTAATTCCCAATCAGAAACCCCCTTTCTCATATCCCACTCATTTCTACCATATTCTCGAATGTTTTGAGGATGAATTGCGGAATTAAGCGGATTTTCCCTCTCTCTCAGAGACAAATTGAATGTCACCGGGCTGTGGCTGATGATCAAATGAGAAAAATCACACTAAATTCTAGGGATTTGCTTTAATTATTGAATAGATACCGTAAATACTGTAATAGTACCCCATCGTAAATACTATAATAGTACCCCAGCGCCCTCGTACAGTCACGTAGTCACAAAAGTTTTTTAGTATTTCATTTTTTTCAAAGCGCCCGTACTTTCAAAAAATGTGTCTTTGGTATCAAAAAATAGCCCTGAATTTCAGCTATTTTTTGATACCTAAGCGCGCATTGTAGCATAAACCAGTGTCAAGAAAAACTCGTTCAAAGCTAGACTACACAACACTCCGCACCGTCATTATGGAAGTGGGGTACTATTACAGTATTTACGGTAGGTTTTATTTAGCTTTATCGTAACTCTAGATTGAAAAAAAGTTCAACATTGGATCTGATGTCGACAAGTCGGTTTGTTCTTTTTGTGCTTCGACAAACGAAGTAAACACACTCAATTTCTGACTTTTGATCATTTTCCTAAAAACTACGAAGTCACGTATGCCAGAAAATGCGTTTCTAAGATCACAAAGTACGCTTCTGCTACCAATCTCTCATATTGAGCAAACAAAAGCAAAAACCCATAAAGCTTTACAAAAAAAATGGATGATTACAAAAATCTTGCGATCTGTGGGGTTATTTTTATTCAAAAAAGACACTCAAAGGAGTGAGCCGCCTTGTTTTTCTTTTCTCGATGTGTTCACAAAGATGTTCACTGAATATCATTTACAAGATTACTACGGTCAATCGACTTTCAGAGACGACCGCAGAAAATAACAAAAAAAATGGGATAAACTGGGTGACGGGAAGTTACAATGAACGGTAACTGATTCAAAAATCGTTTTTTTTTCAAATTACTTTGTGAATTACGGTTGGTTACGGTAAATGAAATGTTTCATTCACTTTAAATACTTGTTTGTTTTTGATTTTAATTCAATTTTATTCAAAAATTAGCCGCGATGACCGGAGGATGTCATGGTCGATTGGCTAAGAGCTTTGTATCTTAGTTGAGAGGTCAAGAGGTCAATCCCACCTCGATTATTAGTTGTTTTTCCATATATACAAAGTTGATAAGTAGGCGTCGGGCCTCTACAGTCAGCAATCAGAAATCAAAAGGAAAAAGACAGAAAAAGAAGAAATTTCTCGAAAAAACTGTGATGTTAAAAGATTTTTGTCCATCAATTTTTGGCTCAATTTTTGTTTTATTAAAAAGTTCATGACACCTGATAAATCTAGGAGCAATGTCCAGGAATTCACTGGGTCCACTCGTCCTTCTAAACTTAACGCTGAATGCTCAACGCTACAAGACGATTCTGGAGAATGATCTTCTACCGTTTTCGACCGCAAATATGGGCCAAGGTTGGTTGTTGTACCAGGACAATGCCCCGTGCCACAAGTCACAGCTGCTGATGGGACGCCGTGTTCGACTCGCCAATGGAGGAACGGCTCTGGTGCCAGGATGGTTCAAAGTAAACCGTGTTCAACTTGTGTCTGCTTCTCCCTATAGTCCTGATTTGAATGTGATCGAGAACATATGGGCGTTTGTGAAGTCGAAATTGAAGGGGAAACTATTCGGATCAAAAGTGGAGCTTTGGTACTTCATCCGTCGAGTCTGGACAACTATTGGACCCCAAATTCTACGTGATCTGGTTGACAGCATGTCAAGGAGAATTCAAGCAGTAATTGCGGCTCGCGGAGGACCTACTAAGTATTGATTTTCATAAAAGACTTTTGTCCATCAATTTTTGTTTTATTAAAAAGTTCATGGCACCTGATAAATTGTCAAATCCATCTTTTTGTAATGTTAAAATTAGAGATAATAAGCTCTTTAAATCTTTCTAAATCTTTAAATCTTTGCAAATTGGTCGGATTTGGATCAAGATATACAAAGAACAAACTTCTAAAAACCAACGTTAAAAGACTTTTGTCCATGACTGTATATGGGGTTTCTTTTCTTCTCGACATTTAGGGCTTAGTGGTTGTGCTTTTGTATTGTTTGTGCCACATTGTGAATAAATGTATTTTTTTTTTAAATTTGGTGCTTTGTTATCCTCTTTGCATTAACTAAAGAATGACCATTCTTTACTTTTAAAAAGCAAAGCGATACTCTGCTCGTTATCTTTTTTTTCAGACTCTTGTTTGAGATTGTGCAACTAGAGAATACAAGTGATTGAGTGGCAAAAAAGCACAGATCAGTCTCAACTTTCAGTGAAAGTCTTTCTCTTTCACCCACCATTTCCCTCGTTCGATTCAGAAAAAGAAAATCGAAAACAAGATGACAAGAAATGATCATTTGTCAAGTGAAAAGAAAAGAAAATTTCTCTTTTTTCCTCCTCTAAAAAGATTCCGATCCAAAAGTACTTGATAGCTTTTCACGGAAGTCATCCAAATGAAAATGATCGGTAAAATCTATTAAGGGACTGGGAAAAACTGTCGAAATACCCTAAAGTCTCGAGTATAAGTTCTGCCTTAATTTACATTCGCTTTAATTGCTTTGAGTTTCTTTTTGTTGGGTTTTTATACATTTTTATTGTTATATAAACTTTTATTATTGTTCTTGGAGCGCGGGATACTACAGCGTGACAGCCTATCACCATTGTTATTTGTTATGTGCATGGATACATCCAGACGATAGTGTTGAAGAAGACGCTGGAAAGCATCTCTTTCGACCGTCGACGTGGACTTTGGCCGGATGAAGAGGCCAGGGAGGGATCCATAAGACTGAGCACCGGAGAGGAGCAGGGCGGACGCACCGAGCCACGCCCGCAGCAACAAATAACAGCATAAAATTGCTATAACCCTCAATAAATTTACTTCTATTATTGTTCTTAAAAAGCAAAAAAGTTATGCTGCAGCGGGGTTCGAACCCTCGACACACCGCACCGGAGACAGCCGTCAATTTGCATGCGAAAACCAAACAGAACTTATACTCGCGACTTTAGGGTACAAAAAAAACAAAGCCATAGTCAGAATACGGTAGATATCAAGCGCACCTTTTAGAAAAATAAAAAGAACACTGTTTGATACAAAGCTATAAACGCAAAACGAAAATTTGTATCCAGAAAATGCAAGGTAAAACACGATTCCATTGCAAAACCGTTCATTGATGACTGTATAAGGGTGGAGAATTTTCGGGGAAAAAGAAGAAAAAGAAAGGAAAAGATTGAGAACAATGAATGTATCGAAAAAGATTGAGGAAAAGGGCTCATGAAGGGGGTCCACAATAAAAAGATCGTTTTTTTTTCATCGGCGGGACGTGAACTTTCCGGGTCTTTGTCCCTATTTTTTTGGGTTTTTTTCTCTTCTCTTTGCAAAGGCGATGCTCCAATGCCAGAAAACGGTATTCAACCCAAGAAAAACATGGAACACAAGAGCAAAAAAAAACTTTAGGCAAACAAAAACGATGACTAAGAGGCCGCGACTTTTTGGCCCCGAAAAATGGTATTCATTTGTGGCGATGAGCGGTTCATTTCTACATGGTTTACCCCGAATTTGGATGTGCTTTCAAATATTCAGTTACTGTATTGGTCTTAAAATTCACAACTTTTCCGTAGACTTAGGCAACTGAAAGTCAATGCAAAGTTCGATTGATAAAACTTTAATTGATAATGTAACTTTTAAAGCGACTTCAGAGAACAAGTATACAGTAAACGTCGTGCAAATATCTATTAAAAAAACAATTTTTAGGATAATATTTATATATAATGTTTATTGCAACACACTTTAAAACAATCTGAACCTGTCTCCATACGCAGTGAGCGCCCAAAGTCCAATGTACATGCCGAAGAAGAGAAGTTGCGCAAAAGCATACACGATGGCGACGATGAAAACGAGAAAGGCAACTGAAATAAAACAGTAAAGATTAAAATCAAGTTTTATAACAAAGTTTTATAACATCTAAGATATCGTAAAAATTCTAAGAGAAGACCATGGTCTTCTAATTTTCGGCCCCCAAAAAGTCAAAAAAGCCCCCCAGATGAATCAAAAAATTAAAAATTGTTAAAAACTATTTCAAGCGATAGCCCTTGACCTAAAACGTGCCAAAAACGTGTTTAAAAATAAAATCCTTTTCTTTCCCAGACCCCAAATAAAATTTTTTTCAAAGATTGTTTTTAAATTTTTTCAAAAACTACGTTTCCAATTTTACTGCCGAGGCTAAAATATTTCTATCTGGACCCAAATCTACCATTCTACCTAAAAAGAGTTTCAAAATGTCCCGATTTTAGGGGAGCAGGGGGATGATCTTCTATTAGAGACTGATCTTCTATTAGAATTTTTGCGGTATAAGTTATAAAGTATTTTAAACTCAAAAACTCTACCTCGAGCCACTTCGCTGCGCCCATCCTCGACCACACTCACCGGCACGGGAAGATCGGATATCTAAATGTAAAAAGAATAAATGTACTTCTTTCGTATCTCATGAGTAACGATTTTCGCAAACTTGTATCACTGATTTAGTTATCTTAAACTTGTCCAATTTTAACTTCAAAGCATTATTAGATAGCTTAGGCGTTATAGATTCTAATAGCTTTTGAGTTTTTCAAAATCTATCACAAAAAAAAGTGTTTAAATTATGGGTTGAAGTACCTAAATACTTAAAGATCTAAATACCTAAATTACCTAAAAAAAAGAACCTAAATTTGTAATGATTTAACAGAACAAAGACAAGAACAAGATAAAACTAAATGCTTGACTTGAATATTCTAAACAAGAAACTAACTTTAAACTTTCTGTGAGTTCTTCTCTTGGCTTGTTCACCTCCGGATCTACTGGCCGCCGCTTTCCTTTTACTCGAACCGGGCTTCGACTCTTCATTCACGAGTGGAGGTGCTAAAAATGTAAGTTAAGCAAAAAAAGGCAATGAATTTAAGAAAATCTTTAGCGATATCTAATCAAAAGCGCTCAACGTTGATGGGGTCCTGATTCAAGATTCAAATTGTCGTCCTCTCGCAAGGGAATTGGTGAATTGACTGAAAAAAAAGAGAATAAAATAGTGCAAAGCATTTAAACAAATTTCTTAAGTATCAATAACCACAGAGCTATCAAGTTACCAAATTTCAGCGCATTCTCACTAATCTTTATGCCAGATTACAAAAGCTTTTCAATTTGCTCGGATTTCAATTCAAAAATCTCAACCTTATCACAATGTATCTAACTTTCACATATGAAAGCAACTCACTTGATCGACGATCGTGCCACGATGACGGCACTTCATTGATTGGGCGACCAGCGATGACAGGAGACGGTGTTGGTTTGTCGCCTATCGGACCCATCTCTTTGTACATTCTGGGAAAAAAGGAAACTAGCAAATATATCTCAAGATTTTAGCTGTTACCTGACTCACCAGCCGAAACTTGGTTTTTCTAGCTAGAGGTTGGTTTTTCTAGCTAGGTTTTTCTAGCGCATAGTTTTTGTCACTGAGGCGCAGTTGGGAGCGACGGTCCACACGACCCGGGCTTGATTCCCGGGTGTTTCACCCCACTTTGATTTTTTTTTGAATTCTTTAAAATGGCACGACTACAATATATTCTAAAGTTTTCTAAAGAATTTTTAGCTTTATTGGTCAAAACACGGCCGAGAAGCTGCCCGTACAGACAGACAGACATACAGACACTGCTCTTTTATACATAGTAGATAACTTATGAGTACTACAAGACTTTAGTCTTAGTCATAAGTTATCTACTATGTATAAAAGAGCAGTGTCTGTATGTCTGTCTGTCTGTCTGTACGGGCAGCTTCTCGGCCGTGAAAACTTAATGCAAGATTGTTTTCAAGCTTTTAGAATGATTTACCAACATGGCATTATGAGAAGCTAACATCAAAAAGTTAGATATTAAAATTTACCTGCAAACGAAAAGAAGAAAAGGAAGAAACGTAGATTGAATTGATTGGAATAAGAAATGAAAACGGATTGCTCTTGAGTTGTCTTTATTTGGTGATTAAATGCAAATTTGAACTATTTACTTGTTGAATTTTGTAAATTTTGTTGAACTTTCTATTTTCTTTAAAATCTCTTTGCATTTTTTTTGCAGATTCAAAGCTGAAACTTTTATTTCTATTTTGAAATTGAATTTTACAATATCAAAATATCAAGCAGCATATCCCGTATCAAATGTAAGGCTGCTAAAAATAGCATTCACTCGGAACAGAAAAAGGCATCAAACAAAAGTGAAAAAACGAAAATTTGAGTATCAAAAATGTGTGCGAATAGGAATGATTTGGGAATGGGGTGAAAGTTTTGCAGAAAAGTTTCTCTATAGTTTTAAAAATAGGCCATAAAAGCTTTCACCCACTAGTTTCCTATCTAGCCTTTTGGCAAGTCTAAGCCCGGCTATGCCTAATGTTTATAGTTTATAGATCCTGAGGATTAGGTGAAGTACTCCCAGGCATACTTGCGACCCGTCTTGGATTGATGACAATGTCACCATCATGAGAATTCTCCCCGTTCATCCCTCGGTGATCGATCAATATGCCATCTAAAAACTTTATGTCCCAGGCATTATGCCCTTCTACAGTATGTAGAAATACTGTAGAAGGACTATCGAATATTTTGAAATCATTTCTTTACAAATCACTCACCTTCTTGTCCAGTTTCATTGAGATTCGTGACCTCTTCGGTGTCAGTTTCTCCTCTCCTCACACTTGCTGTCGTTCGTTTCCTCATCGGGGCAACTGCTCCACGAGTGTAGATGTTGGCGAGAGCTTTTCGTAGCTAGAAATTTTTAGTACTAATACTGTAAGTACTGTAAGTTTACTGTAAATCAAATATCTTACCTCTTTAAGAGCAACGACACCGATCAACTTTCCCTTATCAGTCACATAGGCATGATTGAGGGCAAGAAGTGAGAACAAAGTGTGCACCTAGAATGGAATTAGAGTTTAGACATATAATATTTGATACCTTATACAAAGATGTTCCTCTAACAAGTTGAAATGGAGCCGGATCGATAGCCACTCCTTCCACTGCCAATGGAGAGGCTAAAACAGCCACTCGCTCAGCCATTGTCCTCTGAAAGTTTTGAAGCACTTTATAAACTTTAATTTAATATAAGTATCATGGACTAGTTTTTATTAAATCTTAAACTTTTACCACTTGAACATCTTGCTCATTCTGATTCATCAACAAATTGACGAGTGGAGCTCGTTGCTCTCCGCTTTCATGAAGAGGTGAATGAGCCAACAATGTGTTTCCAGAGATGCTCCTGGAAGTTGTTAGGATGTAGAAAAATTACCGACTTATCCAAACTTACCGATCAGTAAGAAATCCAGCGGACCAAGAGTTCCTCAAACTCAAAGGATTCGTGTTCGTATTCGGAATCGAAAGATTTCTTCCAAGACTCAACAGGTTCGAGCTCGAGCTTCGACTAAAAGCTTTTTTTTTGCATTCATTCGAATAACCACTTTACTTGTCCAAATTCAAAGCACTCACTTTCTCAAAGTATTCAGAATTTCACTTGGAGTAAACACTCGCTTATTAGCAAAAGCTGGATCTGGTCCCAATTTTTTCGACAACAAATGAGTCAAATATTTTCTCGATACAGATCCCAGTAAAGTCATTGAGTCTAAAAACTTTCTTTTGTGAAAAACTTTTTAAACAAACGTCGATCGGTGACAAATGGATAACTCTTGAGTTGCGGGGTTTCTAGAAGAATTGCTCTCAACTCTTTGTATGTTGTTTCCTTTGTGATATAAATAATATCTTTGATCATGATCTTTTCCACTTTCAACGTGTGAACACTAAATGGAAATTTTAGCAAGATACAAGACTTTTTCCATACGAAATTCGTGATGGTGGTAGATCAGCAAGATATGGATATCCTTTGATGAGAATTGTTGACTCGTAGATTGACGGTTGAATGAAAGAACACAATGCATTCGCGATCATCAAAGCGATCTGGAAATTGAAGATCAAAGATGATTTGCACAAGTTGTATCGAAAATTTTATATATGTCGTAGCCGATTATGAATGAGCGGGTCCGGACGCGTCCAACCATCAAGTATTTGGTATCATTCAACGCAGAATCATTAATAATTATGTTAAATTCTTAAAATTAGAAAGATTGGATAAAAAGAAAAAAAATTATGGGGCCTCAAAGTTTCCTCTTGAACAAACAGTTTTTTGCTCTAATTTTTTTTCTTTTTATCCAATCTTTCTAATTTTAAAAATTTAACATAATTATTAATGATTCTGCGTTGAATGATACCAAATACTTGATGGTTAGACGCTCCTAGACCCACTCATTCATAATCGGCTACGGGGGTCCCGCCGATTTTGAATGAAACGTTGTAGCGCCGGTAATTTTTAACCTAAACTCACAAATTTGGTACCAATCGACGCGGAATTTAATTCGCTACAGGATGATATAATATTGTCCCCATACACTAAAGGGTTGCTCTACTAGAAAGATTTACCAAAAAATTTCATTCATAATCGGCTACGACATATAAACAAATTTACACAACTACGATAGCCTTTTTGAAGCGCACACTTTAGAAAGCGCACGAGCAACACACTTTATTTTTGATTATAATCTCAACTTTTCAACTTTACCACTCACCAAAACCGGTAGTAAAGCCGAGAGTTGCCCTGTTGTCTCACAAACAATCACCGCAATCGAAAGTGAATGTGTGACAGCACCTGTGTAAGCTGCGGCACCTAAAATCACTAGGAATTTAGATGGCTCTTCTTTAGATTATGAATTCGATCAAAGCTTGCTTTTGAAAGTCAGACTCACCAATAACAGCGTAGAGACCGGGGAATATTTGTGGATTGGATATTCCTCTGATTCCCTCTGGCCACATCAATGACACCACTTCACCCATTAGGCGACCCATTGCAGCTCCTAGAAAAAGCAAATTCTATTAGCATTTTCTAAAATAACTCACCAACAACAAATGACGGCACAAAGACTCCCGATGGGACATAGAGAGTGATACAGATGGAGATCAAGAAGAACTGAAAAGGTAAGGTACTTTTGTCACAGGTGTCACCAGCGAGAACCCAAGGATTGCTTTCAGGTCTAGTGTTGGAAAAACTGAAGCTAAGGCAATGAACTGACCCAGCCTGACCTTATTTACAGCCTCAGGACTAGAATTAGAACATCCTTAACACTATAAATAACTTACATAAACACACAAGAATCCAACGAGCGTCAATAGAATGTCCGTTCCTTCGCCCGCTCCCTGACGTGTCCAATGCTCGATGATCGAGTGTGGACAACCCATCTAAAAGTTTCAAATGGAAATTTATATATTATTATACTGTAGAAATTTCTATAATAAAGTTAAAAGGGAATTTTCTAACTCACCGCCGTTTTATTGTGCATTGTGAAGGTGCAATTTGCTAAGAAATCGCTGAGCGCCTCTCGGAAAGTCAGCTGAAAATTTGGATAAAGATGGTATTGTTTTAAGATGAATTTACATAATAAATTTCGATATACTTAGATAATTTAGCAGCAAGGTTACCTTTCCAGCACAAAATTGCCCCAATCCGTCTGGGAAAGTGAGCACCGAGACGACGACTGCCCAAATGGCAGTGTAGATGATCGGGCTAAAGCTTTTCTTTAAGTTATAAGTTGAATAATCTAAATATATAGATATAGATATAGATATTTATCCATAAATTCTAGCAAATTATTGTACCTCTTTGTCCACAAGGCTTTGCACGCTTTATTCTTTCTCACCAACAACGCCATTTGTCGATTCAACCAAATGAATGCAGCTGCTGCCAGGCCACAAATCGCCCTAAAAATGATGAAATTTAAAAATTGCAAGGATTAGATTTGAATAACATTGAAATGGAATAAGATCTTAAGATTTATACAAATAAAATTTACCCCAACAATGCAAAGAGTGGAATCTCGTCGATGAAGAAAACTTCATTCGGGAAAGACGTTTGATAGTAGGCGGTGATCGTTCCGGCTGAATATTTTATTTTTGAAAACGATAAAGCCTATCAAGCACTTTATCAATAGATTATCAATAGATTACTGTACGCATTGTACTAAATACTGTCATACTTTAGAAGTTATCTAGCTTTAGTACTGCAATTGAGCAAATGCAATTGCAATTTACTTTGTGTCACTGTACTATAATGCGTACTATACTACTATTTCTAATAATTTAGTAATAAAATCTCAATCGTTTCAAGCCTTCTCATTCACTCACCAATATGTTGCGGTAAAATGAAAGCCATTGCAAATCGGAAAATGATCGCTGAACATGTTGTGGCAAAGAATGAACGCCAATAATTCTTTAGCGCAAAATATTTCGACGTCGACTCAATGCCATACAGAACACCTAAAATTTTGTTGGTTTAAAATCCAAATTTTTATGTCCACCTCCAGCTGGCGCACTGAACGTACAAGCAATGCCGACAGCGCATCCAGAAGAGAGCATTTCCATGATTCGACCTAAAGAGTAAAAGGTTTATAATTGCAGAAAAAGTATTCAGGCAATGAACGCTAAATATCTTTCTTATCTTTAGCTATCTGAAGCTTTTAAAATACCCACCCTCATTCGAGAAAAACGCATTGTAAGTGCAAGCGGAGGTGGCTCGACTGAGAAGTGAGGCGACGATGGCACCCATGTGCACGAAGGGACCCTGCAATTTACAATATACACAGATTAAATGCAGATAATATTATAATACCGTAAAAACTCTAATAAAAGCCCTCTCTCTATTAGAAGCCCTTTTTTATTTTGAGCTTTTTAAACCGTAACCCAAAAATTACCTCAACCAAATATAGCTATTTTACACTTTTTTAGTTTAGCACTTTAATTTTAGCATTTTCTTTTCTCTAATGCACTTTTTCTTGCTTGTTTTTGTCTATTCAAGATTTTATTTTTATTTTTAGGCAATGTCGGATCGATCAGAAGAGTGAGATGAACTTGAAGAGTTCCAAGATCGTCGCGAGAACGAGATGCAAGGATTTTTCGAGGGGGAACGTGAGCACATGCGAGGCCTTTACGATCAGGTCTGGCCAGAGAATAAGGTGGATGAGGAACTAGAGAGGAAACGATGTTCGGAGAATGATTGTTCAAGTGAAGAGAACGAAGAAACACGCTTCCCAAAAGCGCAAGGCCTATTTAAAAAGGCTTAAATTGAATATCTGTCAAATAAGTCAAGGCTTTTTTTCTATGCATGTGGCTGCAAAGAAGTATCGAGTTGATCGTGCAACGATGGATCAGACAAGAAAAAAAACTTGTGCAGCAAGAAAGCCAAGCAAAACGTTTAAAAAGAGGCGGGCGATCGATTGAGCTAGAGAACGGGATTGTTACCAGGAAACTAATAAAAATTTCTTCGATTTCTAATTTTTGGATTTAAAAATAGAAGAATAAGGGCCTCTATTAGATAATAAAAAAAAGAGTAATTACGATATATAACAAAACCCACCTCTTTCCCAACTGGAAAACCCGTGCCCAATGTGAGAACGAGGCCAAAGATCTAGAATTTTCTAATTAAATAAGCCTTTTGATATATAGTGCTAACCTTTGCAATCAATGTCCTCATTGTCAAATAATTCTTCATCGCAAATCCGTGCATGATTACTTTCACTTCGGGGATACCAGAGCCTATAAAATTCGTGATTAAAGGAAGCTTCATAAAAATTAGACCCACCAACAGCTTGTTTAGAAATTGTGTGACAAATGAGACCGGCAAACGAAACACAAATAACCATGAAAAGCACCTGGAATCCGATCAAATTAAAAGTCTAATATTATAATCCAACAGCAGCAACAACAACAGCAGCAACAACAACAACAACAACAGCAACAACAGCAAACTTTTCTTAACTCACCCAAGAGGCGAAAGCACCGTACACACTGCTCGTATTTGCCGACTCGTAAAGAACTCGTTTAACTGAAAAATTGAATGAAGGATTCAAATCAAAAAATTCAAAATTCAGGGAAAAGCCAAAAAAAACTAGTAAGAGTGTAATTAATTCAGAATCTAACTTACGATAGCTATTCACTTATTTACGGAAATCACTCACAGTGCTGCAAATACTCAATGCCGACATCGGTCGTGATCGAAAGCACCGCCGTGATCACTCCCAGTAAACCCGACAGAAACCAATCCTCCACAAAGAAGTGCACGATGTTCCGGTATTGACCTGGAATTTGTACAATTTACCGTTACAATCAAATATTTGATAAAAGGATACTAACGTGTGAAAAATTGCCGAGTCGTTTCATGAGGGATCTCCTCTTCGAGGGTCTCGTCCTAAATGTAAACTTTTTATAGCTTCAACTACTTGAAATATTCATGTAATCTGTAAAAGTTTACATTCTGTAAATGATACTGTAAATGATTTTTTAAAAGACTTGCCTCCTCTTCCGAATCGGTAGACGAAGTGGATCCATTAACTAGCGGCGTTTCAGTTTCAGTTTCAGTCTCCACCGAGTATTGCCTAAAGTCGGTTTATAAGCTAAATAGCTAATTATTTAAGATTGATTTTTATTGTTTTAAAATCATTTTAGCTACCGTAATTACTGTAATAGTACCCCACCCCCATAATGACGGCGTGGAGCGTTGCGTAGTCTAGCTTTGGACGAGTGTTTCTCGACACTGGTTTATGCTACAGTGTGCGTTAGGTATCAAAAAATAGCTGAAATTCAGGGCTATTTTTTGATGCCAAAGACGCATTTTTTGAAAGTACGGGTGCTTTGGAAAAAATGAAATACTAAAAAACTTTTGCGACTACGCGCCTGTACGAGGGGGTGGGGTACTATTACAGTATTTACGGTATCTAATATGTATATTTATAAGCTTTTGATAAAGTTTGAGCACAGGTGTCGTCGTCTTTTAGTTAGTTGAAGTGGTTACCGTAACCTGTCACTACAATAACCAGCTATCTAACTATGGTTACCCCGTAACTCGTCAATTCAATAACCGGTTACCGTTGCCCACTACAGTAATAATAAGGCAGGTAAGATAGAGGTACAAAAGTTATGGTTACGGTAACTAGGCAAGCTTTAAAGCGGTCAATCAGTATCCCAGTGCCAGGCTCACTTTATCTGTGAAAGTTTCCGCTGTGAGAATTTTCTCTCTTGAGGGGAAAATCCGGTAAACGAATCAAATCCCTCAGTCAAAAATTCCGGAATCGTCGACAACTTGCGCTTGATCATTCCACTGTCATTTTTGCTATTCATTTTAGAGGAATAAGAAAAGAAGCGAATTGAAAGATTTACACTATACAATCGAGGAAATTTGGATAAAATTTTGAGCTTATCAGAGATGGCCTCAAATCTTTTTTCAGTATGCAAGATTTTGAAATGGTATGATTCAGGAAAACTGGAAGCCGGTTTGTTTTTTGAAAGAAAGCAGTACGAAATGAAGAAAGCAAAGCTGTGAAGCTGATGCAGAAGAATTACATGGTGTTCATTCAGGAGTCAGGAGATTTCTACAATATAGACAAGTCATTCAGAAGATTTCTACAATATAGAAGTTTAGAAAAAAATATTGAAATAGCTATTTAGAAATCAAAAATGTGAATGTATGATTTTTGAACCCATAAAATGGATAGCAGTGCGATTTGATGGGATCCTATGTGACAATTGGTGGTTGGGTAATTTTGATCAAACAATATCTATTGTTTTTTGTGTAATTTGTGCTCAAAAATGGAAACACATTCATTCTAGTCCACCTTATTATTGCAAAATTAATGTAGTTCCTTATTGAATGCGCTAGAAAAGGTGTGTTTACAGTATTGAATTCAAAGCATAAAAAAACTTACCCTAGCTTTTCCATGGCTGAATATTAGATCTTGAAATAGTTCTCAAAATTATTTTAATGGGAAAACTTTAAGAGAACTTCAGAGATTTGCGAAAAGATTGATAGGTGATTGAGTGGATATGAAAATAGAAAGGATTGGGTTGATTTTACTGTTTTTGATCAAGGATTTTTGGATGGTAACACGTGAATTTCCCAGACATTGGTCTATAGATAAAAATTTCTCACTTTTCGAATTTTCGACGCTTTTCTCTTGATTCTCTCTTTTTCTCATTTTGCGCCTTTTTTCCTTTTTTTTCTCCCTTTTTGAATGGTTTTTCGAGAAAAATTGTCGATTTTGCGGGTAAATGGTCCGATATCAACGATATCATAGTCGGATCGATCTCCAAAAGCAGGGCAAACATATCAAAAACTACATCACAAGTTAAACAAGTTAAGTTAAGTTAAGTTAAGTTAAACAAGTTAAACAAGTTGAGTTAAACAAGTTAAACAAGTTAAGTTAAGTTAAACAAGTTAAACTTTGAAACTAGCAGACTGTGATTAGTTTATCATTTTTATTGCCTTTACACAAAATATTCCCAAAATAGATCGAACAAGGAAAAGTGAACGGTGTGATATCAAAAATGGATACAAGACAAAATTATCTAACAGATATTTTTAAGAATTCAAAATCACCACGGGTTTTTGACCCGGTTCTCTGCTGAGTTTTTGGAGAACTTTCTTTGCTGATCTTTAAACTAATTAAAAGACTTCAATCTCCGTAAAAATGTTTACTTCTACAGTGAAATTTCCATTAAAATTTGCCTGTTAGTGCCTAATACAATTAGTTTGTTTTGTGAATGGAAAAATAGGGAAGTGAGGAAAGTGCTCAAAATAAAATTCATTGAAAAAAGGTTGAAATGAAACGGTGAAGGATGGGTACTTTAGGGATAATCGGGGTCACTTACTGACCGTCAGCTGGCACTAGGCTTTCTAAAAGCTGACAACTTTCGAAAACTGCCGTAATCTTGCATCTTTTATCATCCCCTTTTATCCCAAAGCATCGATGATTCAACGTAAAAAAAGTGGAGAAGTCTCTTACTCTCCAAGCCAAAGATGAGCGCTGAGTAAAGCTCGAATAGCTGCCGCAAGCAGTCTTTGACTGAACACACGCAGAGAACGAAGAACAAAGCCTTGTCTCACGGGACGTCTCATTGTCAGCCTGGAAGCACCCAAAATGGTACCAACACCGGTCCATACCTTTAAACATTTAAACCATTATGGACCGGTACCATTGGAATAATTGTTAGCAAGGCTTAGAGGGGGCAAGGTAAAGGATTCTTTCAGCAAGGCTTAGAGGGGGCAAGGTAAAGGATTCTTTCAGCAAGCTGTTAGTCATTGTGTTATTGAAAATGACTTCCATATGACACTCAGAAAACTGTAGGTGAATTGTTGCTCAAAATTATTCAAAATGTAGCAAAAAGTATTCAGACTGTGTAATTAGTTACTTCAATACGCAAAGATCAGTTTTCCAAAAATTTATTTGACTCTGGTTAGATTTAGACAAAGATCTGACTGTTAAGCTTCAGCAAGAACCCACGAGTCTCGTAGTCGATTGTACCGAGAGAGATCCATCACCGTTTACGCATTAATCTGAAAGTTTAGAAAATCTTTCAGCTTATTGAACTTAAGAGTTACAGTATATACACAGGAAATTTTAGGCTGACTGATGAAAAAATCAGTTATAAATGAGAAATGCCAGAATCATCGGCTTTTCAAGAGAAGAAAGAAGAAAAAACAGAACAATGACTCGGTTTTTTTGAACGTTTTTCTGTTTTTTTTTTCATGGACAATGAGATGAATTGGAAAGAAAACAAGGCAGAAAAGAAGAGGAAGGAAAAAGAAGAGATAAGAAGCTGGGAACAACTAAGGTCAGTTGAATTGAAAACAGAATCCCATCATTCAGACAGAAAGTTTTAAGGGGAAATTGACAGGAAATTTTTCAATAAAGTTTCAATCAATTTCGAGTTCAAAATGTTAATTTTTAAAGTTCTCTCATATCTCTTTGCTTAGCTATTTGATTAGCTGAAGTTGGACAGTTGAATAGTTGGACTGAGCTTTCAAGTTGCACAGATCTTTTTCTGTAATGAAACAAATTGGAAATCATTTTAAAATTTCACAAAAACAAAAAATGTGAAATGGTGTTTATCGTGCGAATCGAATAATAATGAGATGCGTGAGTGGGAAAATGGGGAAAGCTCGGGGAAATAAAAGAGACAAATGGATTGACGAAAAGATTGCGAATTTTGTCCGCTTTAAACAAAAAGAACAAAATGTTTAACTTATCTTAAGTTTGATGTAAAAATTTTCTTTTTCTAAATGGCTAAAAGTTCATTTTTCTATTCAGGACCAGTCTAGCCACCAAATTCCCTTTCTTACAATGAAATGTTCTCAAGGGAATGACATCAGCTCGAAGTTGAGAATCGCTGCGCGACCGAGTGCGTCTTATAGAATCGGCCATGCTGATTCTGAATCTGTAAAAATTAGCTGCAGACACCCACGCAAACGCGAGGAATCTGGTATAGAAAATTCGCTCCACTTTCGGACTCTTGATGGGGCTTTATGGCCTCTTTATGGCCGCCACAAGGACGCTTCCCAACGGCTTCTGTCGTCTAGCGGATAGTGTGCTAGTATACAGAACTAGAAAGTTTCTTGGCTTGAGTTCGAGTCTTTCCTTAACCAATTTTCTTGCTTTTTTGACGCATTTGCATTAAATATTTATGTTTTATGCATTATTTTACAACTTCTAGGGCTTCTAAAGACATGCTCATAGAAACTTTTTTCACAGGAATTCATAGACATTTTCGAACTCTGATATCATTTTTTCATGACTTTGCGAATTCTAGCAGCAAAACGGTGTTCTTTTTACTACAAATAGCTTTGTTTGTGTAAAAAGCGCAAAATTTTGCGTTGTTAGTCATTTTCCTCTCGTATTGTTAGAAAAATATTCATAATTTGTGTTTTCACAGATTTTTCATTTCATAATCATAAGAATCATTTGTTGTACAGATTGTTTGTTATATAAATCGATAAAAGATGACCGATTCCCCCTTTCCTCTCTCCCAAACATTGTCCTGTGTTCTAAGGGAAATTTCCTAAGTGAATGCCATTCATTGTTCAGAGAGGAAAAAATTGAGAAAAGAAGAAAACGAGTTCTTCTCGAACTCGCATTAAAATCATCGATTGAAAGAAAATTTGAGAACTAGATATCAAAATATCGGCAATTTCGAGGGCTTTGGGTCAAAGAATGCTAACAGTAAGAGTAGAAGTAAAGAACTGATAGAACTGATAGAGTAGAAGTATTTCAAGATTGGTGATCAGCACAAATCAAATACAAATTCAATCAAACTATCAAATCATGTTTACGCAAAATTTCCTATCTGACTATCAAAAGATCAAAAGCAAAATCAACAACGAAATATTTTGAAGAAAAAAGCGAGCCTTTTCTTTTGATTTCCCTCTAAACTTTCAAATATTCAATAAAAGAATCGATTCAGGAGTGACTAGACAAGCACAAAAAAAGGAGCCACACAAACAAATAGGTATGGAAAAAGAAAAGCATAAGAGAAATTTTTCAATTCTCTTTATTAATATGCAAAATACGAATTTTCAGGGTAAATATTGCTCTGTTGAAGAAATTTTGGTTTAAATCTAGGGTAAATTTTCACTAGAGTCTTCAAATTCAGTCAAATTTTGACAATGGACTAATAGATTTCATTAGAGATATAAGAAAAACATAACTCAAAGTGAATTGGTTACAAAATAAACATTCTGATCCGATTTTGGTAAATGATAGTGTGCTTGAGGGAGGGGAATGGTTACAAAGACGAACGAGAGACAGAAGAAGGGGCAAAGGGAAGGGAAAAAGACGAATCTTTTTGACCTCACTACCATCTCTTTTTCTTCTTTCTTTTTTCGAGAGAAAAACGAATCGATCATTCACCAACTTTTTTTCCTCTTTTGAAATAGTCTGCCCCTTATATGGATATCGGAAATAATGCAAGAAGGAGTGGCAAGGCGCATCTCCTTTGACAACATTTTACCGAGAATCATCAAGGCCTAGTTGAAAGTTTATGAAAGTTGAAAGGCCTAGTTAAAAGTTCTTAAAGCCACTGTTGCTTTAGAGAAAGTCGTCTTTGTCTTTGTTTTTAAGTTAACATCCTTGATCAAGTACAATTTGGTTTGCTACACTAATTCTTTTGGATAAGGACTGGAAGATAGCGAAGAAAAGAAAAGGAAGGATCTCCTTCACACACACCATTTTGGTTCACAAAGACGCCTAATTTATCGGAAAGTAATAAAAATAGATGATACCTCAGCTATTGATGAGATGAGTTCTCCCAAAAGTCGTGCTTTCTCGTGATCTTTCGTCACCCCATAAACACCCAAGAAATGATCGCTTTTTCTCTTCGGATACCCACCAGCTTTTTAATCTGAAAGTGTTTGCAGGTTTAAAAAGGTTTACTATCTGCACGGATATATTTCTTTCATACTCTAATTCCACCACTTCAATGTTTTTGACGTTGTTCAATATAAGATCGAAAAACAGTTCTATTTGCATGCTATCCTTTTTGTCATTGATTTGGTTGAGTTCCTTAACTTTTACTTTTTTGGTAGTTATAGTAATTTTAGTTGTTTTTACAACTTTCTGCAATTTTTGAAATTTCATCCCATTCGGCAATGAGATGCTAGCCTGAATGTTGGCATTGCATTGATCACCGTATTGCTGCCGTACCTTTATTTCCGCAGGCGCCGTCAGATTTTGAGCCTGGGTCACAATAAAGAAACTCTAGTACAAGGGGCCATTTTCTTGCAAAATACAGTACTTGTTTTGTCGGAGAAATTCTTTTACACAGTCATCAGACGTACTTAAACGAGTATTCAAGAAGAGAACTGTTATTATGATCGAGAATTAAAGACACAATCAATTTTATGGTACATCAAGTTGAAAATTCTGTTTGTTACAAAAGCTGCAACGTAAAATGACTGTATTATCAAGTAGAAGATAAGTATCGAGAGTTGTGCAATAGACTATACAGTCATGGACAAAAGTCTTGGCGGGTCCTGGGTGGCAACTTTCAAACGCAAATTTAGGAACCTTCCCGAGAGGCTATAAAAAAGTTGTCACCCAGGACCCGCCAAGACTTTTGTCCATGACTGTATTTGTTTGGCATCTAAATGTAGATTCGAGGATTGTCGTGTAAACTTTATAAATGCAAATGTTTTATTCAAGTTAAGGCGCTCGATAGACTAGAGAAGAAATGGGCAAAGGAACTGAAATTGATAAAAGGGAAAAGCTCAATATAAAACTAGGCACCATTAAGAGAACTGAACATTTTGTAGATTATAATCATTGGTTTATCGTGACCCGTAGCTTTCGAGACGAAAACAAAACTATTCGCTGAGGAAATGTGGAAGGGAAATCTTGAAATATAAGAAAATTGTGAAGTTGATAGAGAGCAATGAAGTAAAGTCACAGTAAAGGGTTACGCAACTACGGTAAGTAGAAGGTACTTTAAAGTCCCAGTTTCACTACAGTACAGTAGAGGTTGGCGCTTTACAGTATCAACAGCAAGAAAGGTATACAGCTAAAGCGATGCGCTGAAGTGATAATTGGATAGCGTGATGAAAGTATCAAGCATATGTGAATTGTTAGCAAGAGCAATTTTGAGTGGGTCGTTCCTCTTCTCGAAGGTCTTCCTCCGATAAATAAATGCTCCTCGTGCCCATCATCCCACTTTTTATCCCCTCCCAACCATCGGCTGTTCTCAAAAAGCCGGCTTCCAAGCGGGCGTGGATCTCGTGAGCCATCTGAAAGTGTAGGTGAGGCTTTTATTGTCGTTTAAAGTCTGGAAAAAACCTGTTTTAAATCAACCAAAGACAACTTTTACGCCATTCATTTTGACAACTGAATATCTTCTTATCTTTGCGTAATAAATCCAGCTCCATTAAATCTACTATATAAAAGAGTAGCATTTGTTTTTCGGCTTTGTTTTGACTGGTTTTGTAATAAAGTAATAAATTTTGTCATTCCCCATTTTTCACTCACCATCATAAACGAATCTGTGACATTATCTCCCGTGATTGCCGACGTCTCGATGTACTTCATTTTGTGGTACTTGGCGAAGTACTCACCTTCTTCATGTTGTACCTAAAATTCGTCCCTGCTTCAATCTATCTTTTCGTTTACCCACCTGCCGATCCTTTTCCATGTCAGCTTTATGGCCCACAAGTTGAAAGACTGATTGCCCGGGACAAGGCCCTCCCACATTGTTTTGAGCTTCATTCAGCCATCCCTACAATTGCCATTTTATCGCCAATTTTCCCTCCACAGACCTGTATATTTTCAAAGCTCTCTCGATTTGTCACATCAAAGACGAGCATTATCCCTACAGAGTTGCGGTAGTAGGATCGGGTAATTGACCTGAAATCCTGATTATGTTACATCATAATGGGTTGTACCTGAATTTCTCCTGTCCCGCCGTGTCCCATAGTTGCAGCTTGACTCGATATCCCGGTCTCAGCTCAACCATTCTTGCGTAGAAATCGACCCCGACAGTTGGGTCGCTGATTTCAGCAGCTTTTCCTTCCGTAAAATATTTTAGCAGGCTAGATTTCCCGACCATTGAATCGCCGATTAGAATCAAGCGGAATTGATAGTAGAATAAAGGCCCGAAGTCGTCATTGATAAAGTTAATCTCCATCTTGTTAAACGCTCTTCGATGATGATAGAATTAAGTTGTGGTGACTAATTTTCTTGTTTTCATAGAGAAAAGGTAACGATTTCGTCAAAACTTTTTCTACTCGTGATACAAGTCCCCAGTAGTTTGTGGTTGGATGTTGAGGGGATTGAGTGCCGCCATAGGACCACCACGCAACCACAGTAATACTAATGTCGCCCAGACTACGGAGAGACCCCTCCCATTTCATCAGATAATTTGAACTTATTCGGGAAAGACCCATTATTAATTTCTCGTTTTGATTTTTATCTGACTTTCTCAATAATTTTTTATTTTTAGACCAATGAGCACAAATGGAATTGTGACGAACTCAGTGAAAAAGGAAAAAGCCGAAAAACGACCACCGAAACTCTACACATTGAGAGCCGCCAGCGACCATTTTGAGAAAAATTCCCGCTCGAGAAATGTCGATTGTGGAAGAGGGATCACGAGAACACTAGCATGGAATGTTGATGGTACAAAGCTAGCCGCCGGATCTCAAGATGGATATCTCTTGGTTGGTGGCGTTGATTCCGGATTTCGTGTTCACAGCAATTTCCAAAGCACAAATCACGGCGATGAGGTGCATTCAATCTCGTTTCATCCGAAACTTCCCAATATTGTCGCCAGCGCCTCTGGGAATAAATCGATCAATTTATGGGATGTTCGAGTGACGAAAGCGGCTTCAACCCTGAACACAAAAACTGGGAACCTCTTTTGCACTTGGTCTCCATGTGGCAATTATTTGGCCTACACTGGGAAAGATGATCGAGTGAGAATATTGGATACGCGGACTTTCACGGATTTGGATTTGGTTTATTCATCGAAATTACAAATTTGGGATGTTGCTTTTGACTCGACAGGAGAGCTCTTGTTTGTAGCAGCAGCTACCGGGAAAATCAATATACTGAAAAGTCAAGATCTAAAGCTTCTGCAATCGAGGCAAGCTCATTCTACAGGCTCGAATTGCATGTCGTTTGCAATGTCACGTGATGGAAATCAATTGGCATGCGGAGCGAGTGATGCTTTAATCTCGTTATGGAATGTTGATGACATGTCTTGCGAAAGGTGCATAGGCAGATTTGATTGGCCCGTTAGATCGGTGTCTTTCACGCACGATGGGCGCATGCTAGCAGGAGCTAGTGAAGACCATCATATCGACATTGCTTGGACGGATACAGCGGAACGGGTTTACGAACTGAAACACGATGCGGAAACTTTTTGCGTCACTTGGCACCCGACCAATTACGTCTTGGCTTATTCAGGAGCTGAGCAAAGCGGAGGAAGAGAAAAACCTTTTATTAAAGTTTTCGGATTACATTCTTAGGTGTTATTTATTGTTTATTTTATTTATCATTAATTGTTTTCCTTTGACCTCCAATTTTGATTTTATCCTATTAGAACTTTTGTGAATGGTCACATATGGGTCCTGATAGTGAAGTCTCATGTTTAAATTGTTTTTCATTACCGGGTATCTTTTTTGCTTATGATATGTTTGCTAACCAGTAAAATTTCAGGATGCTCGCCACCGAAAAGACTCGTCCATTCATCTATTTGATCTCAATTTTTGGGACGTTTATTTGCCTGCTTGGCATCGTGTACTACAATTTCCCAAAACTTGATGAGGAGGATCGGGAGCATTTCAAATACCCGCGAAATCTGGATGATGCAAAACAATTGGGGAGGGTTCTAAGCCACTACAAAGATCAACATTATTATTTAGTAAGTGGTTTTTAAATATAGACCTTAAGGCTAGAAAGCACCTATCAAAACTACTTGAGATAAACGTATTTTTATCTGCAAAAGTAATTATTGGTAATTTAGGTGATGTGCGGAATCGTGGTTGTCTACGTAATGCTGCAATCATTTGCAATTCCTGGATCAATTTTTCTCTCGATTCTCTCCGGATACCTCTTCCCGTTCTTTATCGCGCTCATATTGGTCTGCTCATGTTCAGCGATTGGAGCAACTGTTTGTTACCTGTTATCATTCTTACTGGGACGGCGATTGGTGCTTCACTACTTTCCCGATCGTGTGGTATCTTGGCAGTTGGAAATCGAAAAGCATAAAGAACATCTCTTCAACTACATCGTTTTCCTGCGTGTCACTCCTCTTCTACCCAATTGGTTCATCAACATCGCAAGTCCAGTCTTGAACGTCCCAGCAACGCCATTCTTTTGGGGAACTTTTCTTGGCGTTGCACCGCCATCCTTTCTCTTCATCCAAGCAGGCGCCACTTTGGAAACAATGACACACACAAATGTTGCATGGTCTTGGACTTCGATTGCGCTACTTTCATTCTTCGCCATTCTGTCGCTTCTACCCGTTTTATATCGAAAGGGGAGGGGGAGTGGAACTCATCCCAAAAGAGATTAATTATTCTTTTCCAAATTTTACAACTTCGGAAACAAATGACTTTTTGATTCATTCATGAGCTTGTACTGTATCTAGTTTCATCACTTAATATAACATCTCAAACGCCCTCTCATTTGATCAAGGCGGCGCGTCTTTCATATTTGCTTTGATCACCATTGTGATCTCTGTACATTGAAACTGTTGATAACATTATCTGTGATTTTTTTTTCTTTACGATAATTTTGTTGTGTATAAATCGTGAAATTTAGGTATGAGCATAAGATAATGGTAGCTGTTGTCTATCTGAAGAGCTCTCGGCTTGTCCCACTTCTACATCGACTTGCTATTGGGCAAAATCAGAGGTGTGTTTGTATTTTTTGAAAGAAATACCTGTATTTATTTTTTCAGGAGGTTGTGTGCTCCTCTTTCTACATACCACGTCAGCAGAGAGCGAAATGGACAAAAGAAATTGTTGGCTTTCTTTTTTCAAACCACAACGAAAATAGTTTAGACTCGTGTCTCGTCGTCATACTGTTGTGAGTCTTCAGCAAGAACGAAGATTTGTCGGAATTGTAAGCTTAAACTTTGGTTTTTTGAAAAACAGTTTTATTGAGGTGGCTACTGTTGCTAGAAGTGTGTTACGATTAAGATGGTTTATCGCAACAGGAGCTATTGGTGGGAGTCTAGCCGCTCGAAATGTAAGATCTCTATTTTCTTCGCTTTAAAAGAGATTTAGTGGTATGAAGATTGGAAGTCGAAATTGCCCGATTTTTCTATGCCAGAATGGGTGAAATTTGAGGAATCTGGTGCCTTTAATGTAAGGTGGCAATGCACACATTTAAACTTTTTGTTTTAGGAGTTATCCGAAAAGCTAGCCTCTCTTCGAGCCGGATTTGGCGATGCTCGAGCTGAAGGAAAGGAAAAATGGGCTGGGTGGATGCAAAAACTTGAACAGCGACGAAACGGTATTGCAATAAAGCGTTGATTTAAGAGAGCGTTGTTTATTTTACGTGCTTAAGGACAACAAGAAAGCAATAGTTCTGGCAATGAAGGATCTGGTGCTAAAGGTATGAATATTGTTGAGCTTAATTACTTACTTAGTTTTTAGAAGCTGTTGGGCTGGCAGCGCTTTTTACTGCATTTGGTGGCGATAATGAAAAGAAAGATGAAACAGTGACTTCAGAAGAACGGCTACAAAAACTTCAAGAGGAAATGCTACGGACGCAGGTGTTTAGATTTTAGAGTTCATAAAATTTATCAAAATTTTAGAGTCAATATCAACACGAACTTGAAAGGTTGGAGAAAGAAAATAAGGTACTAAAACAACGCCTTCTTTTGACAGATCAGGGAGCTGCGCGCCGTTTGAAACGACTGAAGGTAACTAAAGTAATGTTAAAATTAGCAAGAATCGTTCAGAGATCTCTAATTGATATGTATTCGGAAGTGCTCGATTTACTCAATGAATATGATTCTTCTTACAATACAGCTGACAACTTACCTCGTGTTGTCGTTGTTGGTGACCAAAGTGCTGGTATGTGCTGTTAACTTGTGTTTTCAAAGATTAAGTAATTTTTAAGGCAAAACTTCTGTACTTGAGATGGTGGCACAAGCGCGTATTTTTCCTAGAGGTTCTGGTGAAATGATGACACGAGCTCCGGTTAAGGCAAGCATCCGACTTTGATTATTAGTGATTGGCAATGATGAATATCCAGAAGCATTGAGTACCCCTAAAACAGATACAATAGGGGTGCAGGAAATGATGACGTTGATACACTGAGCCTTATTTTAGCCATTATAGCAATAGTATTAGAATATTACTGTGTTTATTTTAAAAGTCAAGATTTTAGGTTACGCTCAGTGAAGGTCCCTATCATGTGGCTTCATTCAAAGATTCCACAAGAGAGTTCGACCTCACAAAAGAAGCCGATTTACGCCAGTTAAGAAGTGAAATTGAGGTTAAAAATTTCATTTTACAGCTGTCATTTGCAAGCATTTAGATCCGAATGCGAAACTCGGTGAAAGGCGGCAAAACTGTGAGCCATGAAGTCATTGCTCTTACTGTGAAAGGTACTCGGTATAACTTTGTGTCAGAACTCAAAAAGTTTAGGTCCAAACTTACCTCGAATGGTGCTTGTCGATTTGCCGGGAGTAATCTCTACTGTCACTGCTGATATGGCCCGGGAAACAAAGGATGACATTATTCGAATGAGCCGACAACACATGGAAAATCCGAACGCAATTATTCTCTGCATTCAAGACGGGTATCAAAGACGTTATCTGAACTGTTCGAAAAATATTTAGTTCCGTGGATGCCGAGCGTAGTAATGTTACCGACCTTGTAAGCAGCATCGATCCATCTGGACAACGAACAATCCTGGTTTTGACAAAGGTTTATTATGTGTGTTTTTCTTGCAAATTTTATGCTTTTCAGGTTGATTTGGCCGAACAGAATCTGACAAATCCCGAAAGAATTCGACGTATTCTGGAGGGAAACCTTTTCAATATGAAAGCGTTGGGATACTTCGGCGTTGTGACTGGACGTGGAAACTCGAACGAAAGCATAGAAGAAATCCGAAAATATGAGGAAGAATTCTTCTCGAAAAGCAAACTTTTGAAGTGAGACTTTTATTGTGCTTTTCATTCTTGGTTTTGTAGAGATGGCGTTTTGAAACATTCACAAATGACAACTCGAAACATGTCGTTTGCTGTTTCCGAATGCTTCTGGAGAATGGTTCGGGATTCTATAGAAAGCCAATGTGATGCTTTTAGGTAATTTTGAATTTTCTAAACATCGACAAATTTTTTAAGAGCTACGCGATTCAATCTAGAAACAGAATGGAAAAATAATTTTCCACGATTGCGCCAGCTTGACCGGGACGAGCTATTTGATAAGGTAACCTTGAGCACCGCCGGATTTACTGACTGGCTTTAGGCACGTGGCGAGATTCTTGATGAAATCGTGAATCTTTCATTGGTTGGAGCAGAAGAATGGGAGCGTATGCTACAAAAACGACTATGGGCTTCAGTTGCTGGTCATGTGTTCGATCAAGTTTGACTCTGAATCAAGTTGAGTCTACAGTCCGTTTAGATTTTGATGCCAACAAGCTCGATCGACAACGCTGGATCGTTTAACACACAAGTCGACATTAAACTGAAGCACTTTGCGGACAAGGATCTTGCACTGAAAAGCGTTGATGTAATTATTTTTGTGATGAAAAGTATAGTTTTTTTTGTTTTAGGCTGGCTGGGACACTTTGCGTGAAGTCTTTCGTCGCCAAATTGAGAATGACAATAGAGCAAGAAGAGATCATGGGTCGCTGTTTGACTCTTTGAAAAAGGCAGTCGTGGATGCGGCCTGTGAAGAGCACCATTGGGACGAAAAAGCCATGGACTATTTGGTAAACTGTGCTGAGTGGGTTTTGTATTCAGGTTTTTCCAGAGAGTGATTCAACAGAGCGCCATTGAAGATCGAGCTGTCCATGATAAAAGAGCTTGGGATAAAGCATGTTCTTTTATGCGCAAAAAGGCTGAAGATCGGCTAGCGGAAGTTTGTTGAATCGATTTATAAAGTTACTTATTTTTCACTTATTAGGTGACGGGTCAACTTGGAAACGATCGTGGACCCGGTATTTGGGGCAAGTGGATTCGTTGGCAGTCTTCTACCGCGGAAAATCACTTTTGTTCTGCGATCCAAGATGAAATTAAAAGCATTCTTTCGCATGAGCCAGTTAGTTTATTATGACATGCTATGAGCACATTATTTTAGGACCATAGGCAAGCTCTCACCGAAGAAGATTTACTGGTCATTAAAAGGAACATCGAAACAAAGGGCTTTATTGAGGTTGAATCGAAGTATTGTGTGGTAAATGTTCGATTTCAGGTTCCAACAGATTTAATTCGAAAACAGTGGAAGCTTATGTTCAAAAAACATTTCTTGGAAAAAACGGTTCAGGTAAGCATAGATATTTTTCGGTTTTAGCATACATTTTAGTCAGCTCGTGATTGCACTTCTCTTTATCAACACTATAGGCAAGGATTAAATGACCAAGATCTCGATTGTCAGGTTAAGTTAATAATGTGCTCTCTATAACGATGATGTTTTAGGCAGTGGTGCTGTTTTATAGAATTGAGAAGATGATCAGTTTGACATGCAATGCACTACGGCAGCAAATTACAAACACTGAACAAAGGCGGCTTGAAAAGGAGATCAAGGTGAATATTTTACTGGGAGCTTTAGAGTAAATTTACGGTTTAGGATGTCCTTGACACATGGTCATCGGAACCTGATGTTAAGAAGCAACTTTTAACAGGCCGATTGGTTGAGCTTGCCGAAGAATTAAGTATGATAAAATTTAGTGGCGTAATTTATTGTTTTTTAGAACAAGTACGCCATATACAAGAACGCCTTGAAGAATTTATGACCTCTTTGCAACGGGAGAAGCATTAATACGTTTTGTCGCTCATGTGTAATTATTTTTGTGCTTTATTGACTGACTAAATTTTCTAGTCGTTGCTTTGTTTTTCGTTTAATTGGTACGCTTATTTAATTGCCCAATTTGTGTAGATATTTTCAGTTTTAGGCATAGTCGTTGTAGTTCCTCATCCTCCTTTGATCATCTCAAAAATAAACAGGTTTTAGAGTTTCTTCCAAAGTCGTGCTAAATAAATAATTTATGTATTTACGCCGAAGTGTTATTGATTGGTTTAAGACCACATTACATTCGAGTTTTCTTCGCCGTTTTTTAAAGGTTTATTGGTGAGTGACTTTTAGGTTGTGATGTCTCTAAATACGGCGAACACACCAGATGGGGCCGGTGTGCTAATATTCAACGGTGAAGCAATACTTTTGTTTGTGCGAGATGTTACGGTGCAATTTTCGAAAAATCCTAATCAGGTACTCTACTAATTACGAGATTCCATTTCTTCTTTTCTAGCTTGTTTCCGGCAAGAAAGTGGGACTTCTTTATTTGACTTCGCATCGCATCATTTTTATGCCAAATGATAAAGTAATAACGCTTTCTTATAAAAAACAGTTCTAAAATTTAGACTGACAACATGAAATCTTTCGAAATGCCATTTGGTTGTATGGACGATGTTAATTTAGAACAACCTATCTTCGGTATTTTTGCTAAAACTTTTGTCAGCAAAAATCTTTAGGAGCTAATTATCTTCGTGGAATGGTTCGGGCAATTCCGGGAAGCAATTTGGCTGGGGAAATCAAATGGAGTCTGACTTTTTCGAAGGTAGGTCCTTGAATAAACTAGTTAGCCATATTTTATTACATAGTTAATTTTAGGGTGGTTGTATCGAGTTCGGAATGGCTCTTTTAAATGCTGTCAAGATGGCTGAACAGTTAGTATTTTTGAATGTTATAAAATGAGCTTAATGTTCATGCATTTAGAGGACTTATGTCGGATTTGCTTCTTTTAGGCGTCGTCCAGAAAATGCACCACCTCCATATGCTCCTCCATCGGGAAGCTTCTATGCGGCACCTCCAGACTATTTTGAACCAGAAGGCGACGAAGCTACACCTTTTTTGGTTTGTACTTTTGTAAAATATTATGAACATTTCAATTTAGAGCACTCGCCAAACACATGCCGAAAGACCAGACAATGTTTTTATGCAGGTTTAAATTAATTCAATTTTATCAAAGAAAAAATGGTGAAATTCTTGGTCGACATTGATGATAAAAAAGGAAAATTTATTGAAGTGTTTAGGAGGCTCCACCGCCATATCCCGGGATGGGGGCTGAACGAATGCCGGTGGCAACCGAGGAATTGAGAAGAGCTGGCGCCTCAATCACAAACGCACCTCCATCCTACGAGCAATCTGCTGGAGAGCTACGACAAAGGAGAACTTGACTTCATTTAATTTTTTAAAAAACATTCTTCCATATTTCCATGATCTGTGATTGAGATTCCGGTTAGCTTGCACATATTTTGCTCGCTTCTTTCTTCTATATATCCGAATTTGATGGCATAATAAAAACATTTATGTGAGGTGGAGTTTTGCTGATGTTTTTAACAACAAACTACCTTTATCATTGCTGATCGTAATGAGTTGTTTGGAACTTACATATATTATTCAGATGGCTTCTTCCTTGACCGTGAAAGTCCACCCGGTTTGTTATTTGACAATTGTGGATGCTTATGAGCGTCGCTCTAAGCCAGTGAAGGCAAATCAACCGGCAAACGATAAAGCCCTCGGAACTCTTATGGGTTTTTATGAAAAAGGCGCAATTCAGGTATTTTTCGAAGATTAAAAAGTAAACTTGTTAGAATTTAGGTCACTAACTGCTTTGCAATTCCATTCAATGAGAACAAGGATGAGCCGGAGCTCGACGATTCGTTCAATCAAAGCATGATTCAAATGTTGAAGCGTAGTTGCCCGGCTGAGCAACCTGTCGGATGGTAATTTTGTTTTTTTTGAAAATTATATGTGGTTTTAGGTTCTACACTTCTTCGGATCTTTCATCGGCTTGCATTCCTTACCATGATTACTATGTTCGCGTGATCAGCGAGGTTCATAAATAGCCAAAAACTTTGCAAATATGTTTTTAGGTGTTTGGGCCCAGAAAAGAGGTTCCTCCGGTTGTGTTGCTGACTTTGGATACCACCTTCAGCTCCCCTGAGGACAAGGAGAGAATGCCCGTTCGTGCATACATAAGGTGCTTGATTCTTTTTCTATTAAAAACTATTGCCGTTTAGGACTAAAGCCGGAATACCAGGAAATCGCGAACCCCATTGTGCTATTTTCAACCCGCTTCGTGTTGAGATGGACGCTTTCCCAGGAGAATGTGTGGCTCTTAGCCTTATTCAGGCAACACTAAATTTTATTTTCGATATCAATTCATGTATATAGAATAGCGTCGAGGACAAACAACGTGAGGTACATCTTGATTCAGGACTTTCGCAATTGGAAAAGACTACCGGGCAAATTGTTGAATGGCTCGAGCGTTTGCAAAAGTGAGCCGGGTCTTGAATTATCGCGATCTTCAAAAGACATTTACAATCTCGTTTTCAGGTATGTTGACGAGGTGCTTGCTCGCGACGAGCTTCCCGCCGATGCCACGATAGGCCGAAAATTGATGGATATTGTTCAAACGGTATAACGTTGAGTTGATCATCATCTACTTTGAGTTTAGGCTGCCAGCCATATGCAACAGGACAAGCTCGATGCTCTTGTTAAAAACAGCCTACGTGTAAGTTTTTGTGTAACGATTACAAATTAAAAACCGTTAATTAATTCTTTTTTTGCCATTTTAGGACTACATGATGATTTCCTACCTCGCCAACTTGACCAAGACTCAACTTGCTCTCAACGAGCGTATGGTGTCGCTTTGAGTTAAAAGGGATCAATCGTTCATTACTTTTGACTTAACGTGAGGTGTTCTTGTTTTCACCGATTGTTTTTGGGGTTACAGTTAGTTTTCTTCGGTTTTATATTTACGGTTTTTTTTCATAGTATTAAGTGACTGAAAAATGAAATTGGAGAGAGTTTTAACTTGTCACTTAGTGCTTTCTTTTAAGTATGGATTGAGTAACTTTTTGTTGCTATTGTTACTTTTTGTTGGTGGTAATAAATTATCTTCGACACCAAATCTCAATGAATATTTCGGTGTTGTGGTGTGTCTCACCTAGCGTGGATTTCTGAGCTAGTGATTTGTACATTGGTTGTGAAAATGGTGTTAACAGTTTGATGATACGGTAGAATGAATGCTGAGCAGAGAAGAGATCGGAGACAATATCCGACTATCCGAGATCGAGTCACTCAGGCCTACTATGAGCATGGCAGGTAAAAATTGGTCAAAAAGTAACAATTTACGAATTTGAAAAAAGCAAGGGAAAACTATGATCTTCATATAGATTCTGTGCCTTTCATCCTCCACTTTGCCTCTCCGTTTCGATAGTTTGCTTTTTGTTCCTCGCGTTTCCAACGATTTCTCGTTTTCGTCTTCCCGTCTCATCTCCCATGGATGTTCATTGGACTACGGGAAGTCTTGAAAAAGGTTCTAATGAAAAATATCTGATTGAAATTGAAAATTTTTGATAGAAAACGGCCCAGACTGGTTACAATTAGCCCCAGCCGCGTACCTGCAACAAATTGTGATCAGAGCTGGGGTGGAACCCTGGAATCCGAACGTTCTGAATGCTGAACAGGTTATCGTGTTGATTTTTTGCCATAAAATCATAATAATGAATTATTGAATCTTCGATTTTAGTCTGTTCGAGGACCAATTTCTCGAGCCTTTTCAGCGATCGAAAAGCTTCGCTCGGTTCCCGGGTTAAGCGCTGGTTTGGAAGCAAAACTGTACCCATATCAATGTTTCTAACTTTTCAGCATGTCTTCATGTGCAGCGTCCAGCCTCCACTCTGCCAATCCCGGAAAAAGATTGCCTTTTGATTGCTCCCACGTATTTCTGGAATGATACAATGGAACAGTTTTTAGAGGTAGAAAAGTAACATGAAAACTAAAATGATTAAAAAGACACTAAATTGTGATTTGTTTCTAAAAAACATTAGTGTGATTCGAAACTTCTATAGGATACGAACGTGGTGAGCACAGTCTTTTCCCCTCCATGCGCTCCATCACTGTGCATTCGGGATTTGTTGTTGGGAATGCCGGCTGGGATGACTGGCATCAAGCAGAGATTTCAGACAAATCGAAAACGAAGTGATGTTTTAAATGTTAAAAAGAGGAATTAGCAAGTTTAGACATCGACTTCGGGTTGACTCTCTTTTTTCATGAATACAATGAGAAAGTGATCGAGGTAGTTAGCTTTAAAGCTACTATTAGGAAAATACGGTATTTCTATATCAAAAGCAGAGCTCATTTTCAGTCTCTCCGGTCAGCGCTCGATCACGAGTTCACTCGGGTGCAAAGCGCCGCCCAAGACGAGAGCACTTTTGTCCATGTCTTCTACCGACCGAGAAAGTACTTCGCCGACTATTTCCCGCTCCTTTTCTCGTATCTCGTGTTTGCGGTGCGTTGGCTAAAACTAGAATCAAAAGATTTCGATTCTTAATTCCAGTTGTACTTGTACTACTCGGCCTCTAAATTCGAGATGGTTTCTTCGAGAGCTGGCCTCGCTTTAGCTGCCGCGTTCACCATTGCTGCCACTCTTTTGAGTACAGCGGGTGAATTTCCATGAGAATATAGCGTACAAAAAGCCGTTCTTCTTCACCCAGTAGTTTTATTTTTGACTAAATCCAGTTCAGGAGTATCAGCCTATCTCGATCTGCAGCCATCGCTATGGGGAGCCGAAGTGTTTCCTTACTTGGCCTTGATTCTTGGACTAGAGAATATCCTCGTCATAACGAAGTAATGTTTTTGTATTTGAACTTTCTAAAAATATCACCAATAGATCCAGGATGTTTGATTATCTCAGAAAATAGCATTGATAAAACAGATAAAACAAAATCCGATCAAATCAGATCAAAGTGCTCCCCAAACTTTATTAGTACCGAGAAAACTTTCTTAACTTATTTCCTTTCTCTTCTCCCGAAATCTTTCTTTGCCATTCCTTATTTTACTTTATTACTGTTGTAGAGCCGTGGTCTACACCCCACCCTCGTTGGATGTGGCTTCAAGGATCGCGCACGGGCTTTCACACGAAGGCTACACTCTCACCAAGTACGTTAAAAGCTACTTGTAAACAGTAAAGATTTGGATTGTTTTTTAGGTATTTCATTTTGGAGCTGATCTTTCTCTCCGTGGGATTCGTCACTGGGGTGCCCGAAATTCAACAATTCTGTCAATTCGCCTTCGTTGGCTTGGTGGCTGATTTCTTTATGCAGGTTTTGAAAAAGAAATTGAATGCGAAAAAAGAAAGATATTCAGCTGTTCTTCTATGTGCCATGCTTGGCGTTAGATCTTCATAGATTGGGCGATGAGGAGAAGAAGCGTTTCTCTCTATTGTTGTTGACATGTAAAGTGCCTCAACTCGGCACTTTCCCTGCCGTTAAGTTAGTTATTTTTCTTGAAAAAGTCATGTTTTTATTTCTAGTTGCCCTGTTAAACGTCTTTGGCCGAGTTTATTTGAAAGAGCTCGCAAGAGGAGAGTTAAGAGGACACTTTCCGAATCAAGGATTGATGAGAATTTAATTGAAGCTTCTGAGGGGAATGATAAGAAAAAGAGTATGTAAAGGGTTTAAAAAAAACCTCCAAATCAACAACTTTTTTCAGCTCACCGAAGATCAGCTTCTTCTCTAAAATGCGCCTTTGATGACAACGGGAAACCGGTGCAGAGCACGGTATCGGCAAGAAGACTTCGAATCATGTACTTCATCGCAAGGACCCGTTTCTTCCAGAGAACACTTATGGTTTGATTTTCGAAGAATTATAGAATGACATCTATTTGATTGATCAGCTTTTAACACTAGGCATGGACCAGCTTTTAACACTAGGCGTGGTTTGATTGATCAGCTAGGTAGGCATGGTTTGCGGATCGGATTTCACGATTTAGGAAACAAGTACCGCTTGCTAAATCGTGGATATAAAGAGAAATTAATGTTAGGTACAAACTCGCAAAACGAAAGCTGTTTCCTAAGACACCAAATCCGGTATCCGGCCCACATGCTTGTTTCTAGGTTCTGTTCGCTTTATGGGTGATCTGGCTGGGATTCATCGTTCGGAGGAATCTTCCTGAAAATGGGGCAAATAGTACAGGTGTTCTTTAAGCTACAAATGAAATAAAGTACTCATCCGGATTTGCACACATTATACTGTGCTGTATTATAAAGACTAATCTTTAGAAACCTCGCGATTTGGTGTCTCACAACGACTATTGGAGACCGCTCCACAGGAATGGGGTGAATGGCAAAGGAGAACGTTTAAGGTAAGCGAATTTTACATAAAAATATTGAATATTTAACTAATTGTTTAACTAATATTTAGAATAATCAACATACTTTTAGTGGTGGCCCGTTTTATTCGCCGAGTACAATCTCACCCTCAGCGGTCATTATATCACCTATCTACCGCCGATCGTCGTCAAAGCCGCTGTAAGTTCTTAATTAAAATATTCAACTTAATTGTTAAAAAATCAATGTTTAGATTCCACCAAATGATCCAATGCTATTCCCGATTAAAGGAAAAGAGACGAATGGATCGAAAGAAACGAAAAGAGAACATGTGAAAGAGGCGCCGAATGAGTTGAGGTAGAACTTTCATTTCCTGAGTAATGGAGGAATCAAATCTCTAGGGGGGGGGAGTAGACACTTATCTCCACTTTGATCCTAATTTTCTCTATGTTTTTATCGGTAAGTCTACAAAGGAGATTTTGTATTTCTTTACTCAAAATTCACGTAGATTCTAATAAAAGAAAAACCTGAAGATGCCAGAAGATGCTTTTTTGAAGTCACGGTGATTTGTACTCTCTGGATACGATAAACGCGCAGTTTCTCAATTTCATAATAATTGTTTTCTAAAAACTACCAAAACTATCGTATCTTTTAGATCTCGAATCGAGTGGCTTGAGTTGCAACTCCGTGTCTACATGGTTGTTTGCCTCTTTTGTGTGCTCACCATTGTCATTCTTTTCCTCCTTTACGCCTGTTTCTGGGGTCAATGGCGAAATGGATGGAAATTTCATAATAATGTCAGCATTTGCTATGATTTTCAGTTTTACTATGACAGAGCCCTGTCAAGCTCAATTTTTAGGCATCGATCGCCGAAGAGCTCGCACAGCAACACGCGAAAAGCAAGAATTTTAGCGAATCCGTAAGTGCTTTATCAAGATTTACACTTATCGTAATCCTTTTTAATCTGAGTATATATTATTATAGTATTCGCATTTTAATATACTGAGATTACCCCAAAAGACATGCAAAGGAAATCAAGGAAATCAAGGAAATCTTTAGGTCCCATTGAAATTGGTTGGTCATCGTTTTCCAGTGGAAATGGTTTTTGCGTGTGGCCCTAGAAATGAGATTATCGTCTCGATTTGTCAAGATGGAAAAGTGATATTTTGGGATGAGGTTACAGGTGGGCTGATTGAATTATTGACTGATTATTGACTGATTATTGACTGGTGGGCTGACTGATTTATTGAACAACTGAGATATATCATACGAACATTAGCATGAAAAATTTCAGGAGAAAAACGTCAGCTACTCAACCGAAATCGAGCTCTTCCCACCGGAAATTCAACTCAACAGGTAGGATGATTGTTTTTTTTGTTTACTTTACATAAATTTTAGGACACCCAAGAACCCACTGAAATCACTGATCCAACGCCAAACAGTGATTCGACAAAGACAACGACAAAATCGTCACCAAAAACCCCAATCGAAACACTGCCGTCGATTTGGTGTGCAAACGCAGAGTAAGTATTTTATTATATATTTTAGATAATACATTTTAGATAATACATTTTAAAACGTTTATATGTTACATCCTATTTTGAAACATTTATAAAAGAATAATGTTTTTACATTAAAATCACTAAATTACTAAACAAATTCGAGTTTTTGCATAAGTTCCTTTAAAAATGAGAAAAAAGATGCATTTCTTTTATAATTTTTTTTTGATAAACTATTGTTTGAAATTTGATTTAGAAATAAAAAGGACGTAATTTTGATAGTTTTACGAAAAACCTTCCGTTAAGGTACTAAAGTGCTGAACAAAACAAGAATTCTGTTTGATTTGACTAGATTTGATCGAAAATTTTAATAAAATTCTTTGTGAAATGGCTTTTCTAGATAAAAAGAGATTTCGAAGATAAAAGGTTTCAAAATCGAATGTAACACATATCTTTTTCTTTCTTTTTATCTATTTGTAAAATGTACAGTTCCCCATTTCAGCGAACGAGTGCTTGTGTTGGGCTGTGCGGATGGATCAATCGAGGTGGGCTCGCTGGAAAGAGCGAAACTCCTCGGCGTTTATCTGCAGAGTCAATCTGGTGTTGGACATATAAAGGTGGGGGAAATGGAAAGTAGACAGGCTCAAAAAGGGTTACGAATCCATAAGTCGGAGCTTTTACACACTCGCGACAATCATTCATTGTCAGAACTAATTTTGGCTCTTTCCCTGGAAGGTGGTCTTTTGAAAGTTTCGTGTTTTTTTGCCAAAAAAGTCAGTTTCGTATTTTTTTTGCTTTCTCATATTATCGTTTTGTGCTTTTTTTGAAATCCGAACTGTTTATTCTTGAGACATTTGCTAAGGAAGAGGATAAGCTGCTTCCATGCGAACTAACACATGTTGAAAGAGCTGTGCCTTCTCCTTAGCTCTTCTAAAAATACAGTCATGGACATTCGCGTTTGAAAGTTGCCACCCAGGAGCCGCCAAGACTTTTGTCCATGACTGTATATTCAAATAAATAAGTTGAAAGCCTATTGTTTCGAAAGTGACGAATTGAAACCTTCATCGCGCCTATAATCTAAGCTTCAAATATTTAAGTAAACTTTTTGAGTGTGAATAGTGACATTTTTTGACGAAAAAAAATCACGAAACTTTCAAAAGAACATGATTCAGGAGTCTTAATTTTCTTGAGCCTTTCTTTGACAGTAATAGTGTTGATTGGAAGAAATCCAAGAAGCACTCACGAGCTTTGAGAACTGTTTTTCAAATTAAGCAATCCTAGAGACAATTCAATGGATTTCATTCAAAAATTGAGACCAGAATTTCCAAAGTTCTGGTTCCAAACTTGAGCTTACTATTAACCTTACAATTAGGCTTTAATAGTGAGCAAATATTAATCGAAAAGTTCCAGATCAAAAACGATTTCCTCGTGCTGGCGAGACTTGCCGGAACAGTTGAGTCGCTGAAAATTGACTACACAGACTCGGAGGTTAATTGGATAAAACAAAGATTTAGATGTTTCCGACTAAATCAATTACTCAAATTCTTTCAGCCACTTCGCATTCGATCGATTCGTCAACTGTGCCAAGCGCCAGCTCACCAGAAGCCGATCACCGTTTTGGAGTGCGCGTCGAAATGTTTCATCACCGCTTCCCACGATCATACAGGTTGGTGGCTAGCAAATTTTCAAGAAATCTATTTCCATAACCTTTTCCATTTTCTTTATGAAAGACTTTTTCAACCTGCTCTTTTGTTTTGCATTCAAACTGCTCTTTTGTTTTGCATTTCAAGTTCTCCTTTACAAAGCATCATTTATACTCGAGCATTCACCTAGCTCAATCATCATCATCGTCTTGGCGTTTCCTTTTTGGTTTAGAAGGGATGGCCGCGTGACACAATTTCTCCTTATCATCCTTGAAATTGTTTTAAAGCTACACGTATCTTTGATTCTTATCTCTATCTCATTCTTATCTTTGATTCTCATTTGTTTTTGATGAGCACAGGATTTCCAACTGGTCCAACTAGGTTGGGAGGATTACGTTATTTAGTCTAGATTGGGTATTCAGTCTTAATAAGCTCGATTACGGTATTTAGTCTGGAATGGGTATTCAGTCTAGATTAGCTAGACCAGGTCGGGCTTCTAATTGGAGGCCGACCTAGAGCCTGGTTTCATCTAGTATGATCAGAAAGCTAGCTTTAAAGATCCATGAATGGGCCCACCTGCAATTTCGCGAAATTCGAGTGTTTCGGGCATTCGAAAACCCGAAGAAACTCTTTCGAGTAGGAAAGGGCCGAGTTGACGCGGACATGAGAGGCTGATTGGTAGCTGCCCCATTCGTAATTTTGTTCCGGATCCGCCGCGCACCTAAACATATCATAATCTTTAAGCTTCTCATCTTTTCTTTCACCCACCACAGCGCCGCATACGCATAGAAGAACATTTTCTCGTTGGTGATTTTCGGAATTTCCTTATAAGCGATGTCCTAAATTCTCTGTCAATCTTAAATAATTTGATTTTTTTTCACATTGATTTTTAATCCAAGAGCATCAACGAGTGTGTGATGGCCTATTTCAAGCGCTTCAATCTCATTCAAATCCTCTTGCAACGTTCGTTTCGCTTCCAAATCACATGGACAAAAGACTTGGTTGATTTGGGAGTTGATAGGATTTGAACAGTCTTTCTAAATTCTTTTTTTAAGTCTTTTAATAGCTGAAATAGCTGAAGATTGCAAGTTGTCATGTCTAAATTTTTATCTCTAAACTTTACTCCTTTAAATTCGATAGGTCCAAACGTTTGACAGACATTCTTCACGTGATCTTGTAAACATTCGCTCTTTCTCTTTTCAGTCAAGCGGAATTTTCGATGAAAAATCGGGTAGAATTGAGCCGCGTATATCAAACCGACAGAACCGTACTGAAGAGTAAACAGGGGGTAGGCTGGTTTCCGCAATTTTTTTTTGCGCAACTGGGTCGTTTGCGCAACTCACCATAACTTTCTTCTAAGTCGGTTAATCTTTATGCTTTTGGTTTCATTTTGTAGATATCAATAAGTTCAACAAAATAAGACCAAAAGCATAAAGATTGGCCGACTTAGAAGAGTTATGGCGAGTTGCGCAAACGACCCAGTTGCGCAAATAACCCTGTTGCGCAAAAAAAGTCGCGGAAACTAGCCTACCCCGTAAACAGTCAAAAGGAAAATAAAAACAAAAACAAAAGAAAACAATTAAAGCAAAACAAATAAATTAAAACTCACAAAAGTGCTTGCCGGGAGATGTTTACTCAACAAAGCGGCCAACTCTACCATTTTGAGCTAAAACACTGTTCGTTTCGTTTGGAAAAAGCAAAGTTCCTCACCGAATTCTGTGACTCAAACGAACTCGCCAACACGATAGCCTCATATTCTTGAGGAGCGAAGAAATAGAAAGAAGTGATGTGAGCGAGTAAGTCGTTCATCACAATAACACTACAAAATGAAAGAAAACGATAAAATAACTTTTTTTATTTTGCAAGATGCTAGCTAAATGTAAAAATCTAGATCTTACGGTACCAGTACTAGTACTATGAGATAGCTAATAAGTATTGTCGCGTGCTATTCCTTGAGTTTAGCTCCAAATCTCATAAGTAACATACAAAAATGTTGCTAAGACTATTAAATTTAAATATATGCATGACAATAACGAGACAATAACGGTGAAAGATTTTATGGCGATTCTTGTGCTTCTTGCGACAATACTTATTAGCTTATTAGCTATAGATTGTCTACGATACGATATGCTAAGAATGTGCCAATATTCAGCTTACCTCTCATTATTGAACAGACGAAGATCGTGGAAGATTCGACTGAGCGACTCATAGAGAGCCTCATACATCATTGAGGTATTTCCTTTTGATGGCGGATGATTGAGTGAGAGACGGTCAAGAGACTGAACAGCTAACTCGTGGAAAGACTCCTTTCTTTGTGCCTTCTTTCGCAATTCATCCTAAATGTTACACTACAGTAACCAGATGATCACTTTCTTTTAGGCACCTGCATTCGATTCTTTTCAATCACTTTGAGAAGACCTTTAACTCGTTTTTGTAGCTCTTTCAAATCCCCGTTCTTCAGCAATTCTTTCTCTTGTATATATTGAAGAAAAACTTCACGCGGACGAAGACCACCTAGATAAATAAAATATTAAAACCATTTTTTGAGTAAAGTAAATGGGCAAGCTTTAGAAAGCTAAACAAGTTTTTGTACTTTTCTCACTTATAAACGCAGCCGCGTCATCGATAAGCGCCGAATCAGTCGCATCAGCCCATCGTACCAGTTCGGACTCAAATTTTGTACGCTTCAACTGCTTGATTTTCTTCCAAACTTCAGCGGGAATCAATTTTGCTGCAACCGTATCATTTTTCAAGATATTCCTGGGGCAGACCTAAATGTAAATTGCTTTTTTTTACATAAAGTTTTTGAACTCACATGCCGATAAAAGTTATCACAAGGGTGAAGACTTTCATCTAAATGTTTCTTCATGTGATGTAAGAAAGGATCAAAGAAAGAAAGGATCGAAGTGGAGGCTGATGAGAGAAAGCTGAAATAAGTCGTTTGATGCGTTAATTTTAGAAATTTAGGGAAATTTAATTTTAGCTTATAGAATCTATTCTAACATACTGTAGCTCAAGAGTTATCATAACCAGAGACAAGGTTAGGACAGTTACGTAGTTACTGGGTTATCTAAACACACCCTTTACTCATTTGAATCACTTTGAAATCATGAAACTCTTTGGGACATATTCTTCACATATTTTACCTCAAGAAGACGATCATCATAAGCATTTTCTTCATTTCTTTGTTGCTGTTTTGAGAAAACTTTTGTGAAAGGTTCTTATGTTGTTTACATCGAGAAAAATCAATGGAAATTGTGCAGAATGTAATTAGAGAAGTACAGTATGGAATTTGCAATTAGGAAAGCTTTTTTTGAGCTTTTGAGGTTTTGAGGTTTTGAGGTTTTGAGCTTTTTGAGGTTTTGATCTTTTGATCTTTTGATCTCTTGATCTCTTGATCTCTTGATCTCTTGATCTCTTGATCTCTTGATCTCTTGATAGTTTATTGCCCAATACTTAATTCTTAGCGAACAATCTTTTCAGCACATCAGGCCCGACTTGATTGCATTGAGTTCGGCCGGCGGAATTCTAAAGATTTAAATAAAAGCCTAGTTCTATAAAGCTAATTTAATCACTATTTTAACACTTTCTCATTATTTTAAGCTACTTTAACCTTTAGTACATTACATATACCGAAATCAACATGGATAATGATACCGTAATCCATCACAGTGTCTTAACTAGTCTATAAATCTCTTTCAGCTTTGACTTTGTCATCTTACCATCTAACCTATCCATTTGATCCGGTCACTTACCATAAGTTTTGCCTGCATCGATTGAGAAGAACATTTGAAAGCCTTGTTGAATTCAGGTGAAAGGGTGACAAGTTGATTGACTCGCATCATTGCTCCTTCATGCGGCTCTCCATACGATCTCCATTGATACGGTGCATCGTGACAACTAAACACTTTAGTTAGCATCCAGTAAACAGAAATCACTGCTTAAAATCAGCATGAACACCTTTAAAATCAAATAAAAGCAAAATCAAACCGAACTTTTTGATGGCATGAGCATAGAAAAACATTTGCTCGTTGGTGATTCCGTGTTCTGGGTAGACGAATTCCTAAAATCAGTATTTAAACGTGACTTCTTGCTGCTCACCGTCAACTTCTCTACTCCAATCTCTTCTCTCATCGCTTTAAAAGCCAATTGAATTCCCACTCGATCGACGACATCTTCAAAATAAGTAGGCTTAAGGCTTTGCGGGGCTTGACAATCACACGGTTTAAAGAGCTAAAGAATGTTTATCATCGTTTAATACCGTAATCCTCATTTCTTTCAACATTTCTTATTTGAATATCATAAATGAACAAACGATATCTCCTCTCTTTTCCCTATTTCAATGACCTTTTCCTCAAAAGCACTACAATCCAGCTTCCCATCCGTGTCCCCAATTTCGCGACAAACGGCCTCTTTGTGCTCGTCGAGACATTGTTTTCCTTCTAACAAATGGATATCAGCCATGAGAGATTCTTCAGTGAAAAAGTTGTGATACATCTCGTGTGCGAGAGTGAACCCGATTCCACCATACTAAATTGAAAAGTACAGATCGAATTAAAGTATTTATTCGACACGAATAATGAATTACAACACAACGGAGGAAATTTTTACCCCTTAGTTAACCCTATACTAATTCAAATGTTGACAAATCAGACCTCGCGCACGTCAAATTTGAGCTGAAGGGAAAAACGAAGCAATTTTTTGGTCCCTGGGATCGAACCTTTGAGCCCACGGAGAGCTAGTCGTCGTAGCCTACCTGACCGGTCGGCTACGATCGAATGATTTCGAACGAACGAATCGAACGAATGTTTAGATAGCAATGACAAGTTTTCATTACAGTCTAATTACAGCCCTCCATTAAACTCACGAAAGATGGCGAATTGCGAGCAAGTTGCGAGAAGAGACAACCGGTTATCGGGATTTTCAATGTATTTCTGTCGGCGAAGTTGAACGCGTTGAGATGGTGGCTGAGAGAGATCGCGTACAATTCGACGGGAGAAACCTCATAAAAAGCGCTGATGAGATTCCCGAGTTGCATGGCTACTTTCTCACTGTAAAGAAGAATTTTTTTTTTGTTGGAGAATCATTGCCTCGGAATCATTGCCTGCGTTTCCTAGAGCTACAAATGGAATTTGTTTTCTCTGGAAAGATCGTTGTCTCATTGTTTTTAATAAGAAATTATTCTGCTCAAAAACTCACTAACTGAGATGTTTTCCATAGAGTTGATTCCATAATTTTGACAAAAGTGTGTAAAGGTTTTGATAAACGATATCATCTAGGATATTTTGATGTTTGAAGTTGAAATAATCTACCTTTATTGGCATTGGATTTCCCGAGAATCACCATCATTGTACGAGAGATGCGTTCGAATCGGAGTTTCGTTTGAGGAGACATCAATTGATTGCTTGTTTGCTAGGTTTATTAGATTGAAAAGTTCAAAGCTGGTAGATTAAAAGGTATATTCAAAAGGTATACCGTAAATACTGTAATAGTACCCCCCCCCATAATGACGGTGCGGAGCGTTGCGTAGTCTAACTTTGAACGAGTGTTTCTCGACACTGGTTTATGCTACAATGCGCGTTTAGGTATCAAAAAATAGCCCTGAATTTCAGCTATTTTTTGATACCAAAGCGCACATTGTAGCATAAACCAGTGTCGAGCAAAACTCACTCAAAGCTAGACTACGCCTTTTTTGAAAGTACGGGCGCTATGAAAAAAATGAAATACTAAAATACTAAAGAACTTTTGCGACTACGCGACTGTACGAAGGGGTGGGGTAATATTACAGTATTTACGGGATAGATAATTGATAGTAACACCAGAACAAAATAAACCAGACTCCACCACAACTCCAACGCACTTCTCTTCTCTTTGAGTGGTGGATTGGGTCAGTCTGAGAGTTGATTCAATCAAACATGTCATCCTGACAACATTCAGTCAAAAAAACTGATGTTCTGTTGTCACCCGTTTCCTCGTTCAGTATTTCATTTTTTTCAAAGCGCCCGTACTTTCAACAAATGCGTCTTTGGTATCAAAAAATAGCCCTGAATTTCAGCTATTTTTTGATACCTAAGCGCGCATTGTAGCATAAACCAGTGTCGAGAAAAACTCTTCCAAAGCTAGACTACGCAACGCTCCACACCGTCATTATGGGGGTGGGGTACTATTACAGTATTTACAATAGGTATCCTACTCCATCAGCCATTCTATTTCATTCACCTCAACATCATTTCGCATGATTTTTGACATCTTTCTGATTTTCTTTCGCAACTTTGCATACACTGTATCGTTCAATAACTTGTAATCATTCACATATTTAACCAGTTTCCCGAAAGGACTAAAGTAAGTTCTCTGAGTTGATTAAAGTACACGCTTCCTACCGTAACCCTGAAATGAAACGCTGTAAGAATTGAGCATATTGTTTTTCATCGTTCAAAGAAATATCTTCCAAAATTGGTCCAAGTCCAACCTAAATAAGTGTAAAAGTTCTATAAGAAATAACTTGGCTAACTAGTTTACTCTAGACTAGTTAGCCAAGCCAAGTACTTCTCTACTAGAGAAGTACTTGGCTTGGCTCTAGCTTACAATAGTCTAGAGAATCTCTAGACTATTGTAAGCTAGAGTGTATTTTCTAAAAGATGGATAAGCTACGAAAGATCAACTTTTGTACTACTTTTCACTTGCCTCAACCTCTCCAACGGGAAATTCTAGAGTTTTCCGGATTTGTGGTGGAATGTAACGATAACTGATCGTTTGATCTTCTTGAATTGTAGCCGGGCATATCTGGAAAGATATTAAGCTAGCTAGCTATCTATCTATAGCTATCTATAGCTGTCTATAGCTGTCTATAGCTGTCTATAGCTGTCTATAGCTGTCTATAGCTGTCTATCTGACTTTCTCAACAGCCTAACAGATTGCTGTTTGAAAATCTTTCACTCACATGTCTGTAGAAATTCTCGCAAGGATCGACGGATTTGTTGCGAAATATTTGTATATGCTCCAAGAAGAGATCTCTTTTCAGATAAGCTATCACTTCGGGATCCAAAGTTTTTTGGAATGACGGCTCGGAAAGCGACTCCGTAACCCCAATGAGAAGACTGAAATGGGAGTACGGTTATGATTAAGCACCGGGTTTTAAAGTCCAATAGCATAGCTGAGCTTGTAAACTAAATAATTACTGTTTAACTGTATTACCTGTAAGTCCACAGAAACCAAACCATAGTTGAACAAAACTATGAAATGACAGAAAGCGTTTGAAAAGCTTGATACTTTTGTTTCAGAATACTGATTAGATTTCTTACGATTTTCGTGGTCCTTGTAGAGGCATGTTTCTATTTTAAAACTGAGCATTGGAATAGCACGAGGGCTCATATTCGATAACTACAATAAAACCGAGCGATCAAGACTCAAAACAGAATTTATTCGACACTTGAATGATGTCATGATCAATATCGTAAATTTTGAACGACGTTTGTACTAAAACTGAATGAATGGTGACATTTGGAGTTTGCTGTTTGAACACGAAGGCTGTTTGCTGTAGTTACAGTACGGTACAGTACTAGGGCACAAAATATTGGATTAGACAATATGAAATGGCACCGACTTCCAACTTCTATATCAAAATATCCTAGATGATATCCGATCCAACTTGTATCATTAGAAAAACCACTTATTTCTCTACAAAATCAATTCTATAAATCATTAAAACAGATAAAGCCAAATTAAGCTATAAATCTTAGAAAACTTATGGGTTTACCTACTCTTAGAGTCTTTTACAGTAAAAGGGAATATAATGGGAATACATCGGATTCAATTTTTCGGGGAGTCGGTTGATTATTGATAACGTGTCCTATGCATGAGATGTGACTACAACGTGAGAAAGTTTCAAACAATCAAGATAATACCTACCCACTCGTAAAGTCTCTTACCTGGTTCAACTCTTAGCCACCCACTGCTCGCCACGCGGAGATGGCTGCACGTCGAGCAGCGCCCTCCCCCTGAGCCTAATGGTCGGCCTAGTGGGAGACCTAGCCTAGTGGGGGAATCCTTCCCCCGGGGCCTAATGGTCGGCCCCGGGGGAGGGATTGCGGGGATACCAAACCCCGGCCAGTTGGCATTTCAGTTCCTGTTCCGTATGGTTTTGCGTTGAAAGAGCGTCGACCAAAATGGCCAACACCCCCACGCATATCGAAGTTTTGCGCCAAATGGGCGACGAGAACGGCACGGATCGAAGTGATCCGTCCCCTTCGAATACGGGCAATGTAACCCAGATCGGAAAATATTGCCGAGGAAGGAGCAAAAGGGCCCATCTTACGAGAAAGCCCTGCGCCATACGGCGAGCGATTACGCGGCCGCACAAAGAACACCTCTTTACAAAGGATTTTTTTGTTCTGTAAACGTTGCTCATATGAGAAATGAAGCCAAATGTTTGTACGCAAGGGTTTTTGGGGACGCGGAAGCTATTGGCAGGGTTCGTTTTGTTGTTTCTCTAAGTAAAATCTTTAATTTGTGCTGATCTTGAGCCATTTTCCCCTATTTTGTCTACAAATAATTGGGTATAACCCATAGGAACCGGAGCTTCCAATTTGTCAGTGGGGTTTTTTCTTTAAAGTAGCTTTAAACGTGCAAAAATGACATCTTACATTCATTCTTTCATCAATCTTTATTTCTCATTTCTTTATTTCTCATTTGCGAAATTCCATGAGAAGTGGCGATTCGCCGTAATGATTGCATTGGTTTAGAGCTGTTTCCTAAAAGAAACAAAGTGTTTTTTTGTCAAATTTTGCACAAAAAACTCACATGAACCCTAGTCAATCGTGAGTTGGAATCGCATTGAAAAGCTTCTTGAAAATTTTGCGATAATCCGGCTAACATCATCGTTCTCATCCACATACCCGAATGAACATCGCGTGAATCATGGTAGTGACCGGGGCTTTGGACACAGCTAATAGATTTAGATTTTGTTACTCACACGAGTAAAAGTACGGCATTTTTACTTCGTAAGTCAAAAGGCATACAGATTTTATAGAATATTATAGCAATTACGTTAAAGCTCCATATGCATAGAAGAAAAGCTGTTGATTGGTCAAGTCTAGATCGGAATAGGGATTTTTCTGGAATATTAGATGAGTGGAATCTACTAGGCTGTCTGAAAAGTCCAGACTTTCTAGACTTTCTAGACAGCCTAACAGATTCAGATTAAATTCATACCTTCAAATTCTCTTTCCCAATCTCTCTTTCCATACTCAAATATGCCAATTGTGAGCCCTCCAAATCGGCAACATCTTCTGCATATGTGTCCTTTTGAGCATTTTCTTTGCACGAGCAATAGTAAAACTTTAAAAAAACATTCCTCTAACCAAACAAAATCATTTACCACACATCCTCCCGATAATTGTGGATCCTCGTCACCGAATTCGTCACAAAGAGTTGTCTTGAACTCGTGCAAGCATTGCCTCTGCATGAGAAGCTGCGGATCTTCGAAAGTTTCATCTTTGAAAAGCGCGTGCTGAATCTCGTGTCCGTAAATGGCTCCAGTGCTGCCCCACTAAATTTTTCTAGGAATCATACTTTAATGAGAGATTCACCTCATACTACGGTAAACCTCTACACCTCTTATGCAAAACTTACAAATACCGCATCCGTCGTTCCCTTGGCCACCAACAATGCCGATTCCAAGATCACCAATGAGTGTAGTTTGGGCGCATAATATGAATTGAAAGCCTGCAAATATCCGAGCTTTTGAAACCATGTCCAATCGACACGATAAAAGTTCCACAACATTTCCATAACCAATCTGCCCGCGTCAGCAGGTCTAAAAGAAAGATCCATCTTTAGATTTATGATCATTCTTGAGTGTTTATCGGACCTTTGCTCGGACCCGCCGTTTTCCCATTAGCAATTTAACTTTGAGCTCAAATATCTTGGTGTTGGGCTGTTCGATTTCATTATTCTTGTTATCATTAGATGCGCCAAGTCTTTCTCTGTCGATTGGTACAAAAACAATTTCTATTGGACAGCTCAACACCAAGATATTTGAGTTCAAAATTAGTTTGCCAATGGTAAAAACAACTTTTAAAGCTACCGTAATCTTGTCTCTAATTTCTATTTAATCTATTTACTTTCCTATTCTTCGTGATTCCCTAAATCAGATCAAAAGTGGATTGATTAGATAAATATTAGAAACAGGATTAAAGTAGTTTTCGAAAGTTGGTATGCTCTAGAAAAAACACTATCCAACCTCATTTGTGTATCGATCAAATCTTGATACAAATCACCAAGCAGCATATAGATTTTTGTAAAGTTTGGCATCACTGAACAAACAATATTTAGTTTCCCATTTCCCCCACCAATCCCTTCATTCATCAAGCCGAGATTGATTCTCAGCGTTAAGGACCAATCTTCGAACTTTCTTTTCATCTCTGCATCCATTTGCGAGGCGGTCGTTTTCTAAACGATTTATCCATTTGTAAACTAAATCATTACCTCAATTTGTTCTTCCAATATTCCCTCCATCAACTCCATTTTTGTATCCAATTTATCGTAGAATTCAGTGGATAACAGGTTATTCTTAATAAGGTAATCGAAAAATCCGTCTGCATATCTAAAATTTCAAGAACTAGAGAAGATCTCTATCATCTCACTTTAATTCAAAAATCAAATTTTTAAAAAAGTCTAGCGGATATCCATATTCCGGAGGGAGCATTCCAGTCATATTTGCCACTCCTAATGCAGTCTGAAAAAAAACAAGCTATTATTAACAGTAATTGGCTGCTTCATACCTCTACCAATGAGGATTTTTTCCTTGCCTTCTCCATTAGTGAATCTTGAACCGATTGCGGGAGAAAATTTCTTGGGATCACGTCTTTTTGGGGAATATCTGCCGGACAAACCTAAATTTGATCAAATGAATCCAAGCAATATCCCCCTACGTGTCTATAGAAATTATCGCACGGATCCATTGAATAATTGATATATTTCTTGAGATGTTTATGAAATAAATCACCAAAAATCGGATCAATCAATGATCTAAATTGGAAATTTGTGATTTAGTTGCGAAAAAAACTTACAAAAACAAAAAAAATCGGAGAAAATTGTACATTTCGTGGGTGAAACGATTGAAATGATTGTTGTAAAAGCAAAAATTCTAATCTATTCTCAGATCTAATTTATTCTCAGCCAGTTGAAAGCATGAGACGATAAAGTAAACCATGATACAGTATAAGAAATGTCACACGTCATTTTATAGCTTTTAAACCGATAAACACATTGAGATGGTTCATTTATTCGCAATATGCTCAACAACTTTATACAATAAACGATGAAAACACACTCGCAAAGATGTTAGGATTCTATGACAAAAAGAAAATGGAGTAATAGTCTTTTGGCTATACTACGATGAAGACAATTTAATATTTATCTAAAAACAGGTTAAACAACGAAGTAAAAACATTAAAACAGGCGACAAAAGGAAAAAGTTTGGTGTTTTTGGTTAAAGTCATCACTTTAATAAATCTCTACCGGGGGGTGGGACGAATGCGACCTTTTTTTGCTGGAAAAGGCCTTAGGAGGAGAGCTTCAAAAATGTTTTCATAGAAGGGAATCGTATGCGTAGATTCCGAATTTCGACAAATCAGACCTCGCTGACACGTCAAATTTGGGCTAAAAGGCAAAAACTACGCAACTTAACGCTTTTCCCCAGTTTTTGCCTTTTAGCCCAAATTTGACGTGTCAGCGAGGTCTGATTTGTCGAAATTCGGAATCTACGCATACGATTCCCTTCTATGGAAATATTTTCAAAGCTCTACGAGCTTTCCTAAGGCGTTTTCCAGCAAAAAAAAAGGTCGCATTTGTCCCACCCCCCTCTACCGTGAGTTTCTATGCGTAAAACTTTAAAAAAAGTGGATTCTCCACCTCTTTTTACCCTAAAAACACAAAAAGCTGACAGAAAATGTTAAAAACAGCAAAGAAAAAGCAAAAGCAAAAATATAGAAAATAGATTTTTTTGTTGGTCAGCGCTTTTTTGGAATGACCCACGAAATGCGAAGTTAAATAGACTTGAGCTACAGTATGCTCATATTTTGTCGGACTTTCGGTTCAGTGCGTTTTAACTTGTACTTAAATTGGCTTTCTTGCAAAAAGTGTCGAAATATTCGGCACAGATTCAGTGGAAATACCGTAAAAAAAAATAAACTGGCACTGTTGAACAAATCAATAATCTATTACTATTATTTACCTTTTACGATCAGTTTTTTTAGTGAAGATCTGGGAAACGGTGAGTGGATGTCTCCTCTACACCCTACATGCCCACAATGCACCCCTCACTTGTTTAGCGATTGATGAAAAAGCTAATGTGCGTTAAAAAGCTTGTCGATGCCACTTCTGGCTTATCTAAATACTTGCAGATCAAAGATTTTAAGCTATTAACAACTTTTCCAGATGCTTTACTCCTCTTGTGAAGAGGGTATCGTCTGTTGGTGGCAACTTTCGAATGGTGAACTCGTTCGGAGTACTGAGGATCCATTTGGGTAAACTTTGGCTATTCTTTGTGATCTAAAAGATCTAGAAGATTCTGTGATTAGCTTAAAATCAACTCTAGATCTCTAGATCTTGTAACCTAAGCATTTCATGAGCTAGATTCAAATTTGGGCTATGTCTGGCTATGTAAAGTACGTAGATCTGATCTGGGCTTGAAATGGAACATTCCTGGATCACCCAGAAATCAAATCCAACTAAAATTTTCAGTTACGCAGTCGAGTTAGCGATGACAAAGGAGAATCTCTTGGGTTTGGGTGCCGATCGACAGTTGAGTGTGTGGAATCGAGAATCCGGTCAACTCATCACACGAATGGCTTTAGAAACAAATTTGGTGAGAAATGGATTAGAGAATTTAGAGAATTTAGAGAATTTGGTCAGATTGTTACTGTTTATGAGAATAAACTTTAGGCAGAATCTCCTCTATTGGAAAGACGCTTCATCGTTTCTTTATCCGATCAAATTGTTGTCACCGCACAAGGAAATATGGTCTCTTTCTGGGATCTTGGCTATAAAGCACTCATCAAAGAGGTTAGTTTATTCAAAACATCAAAATCATTTGTTTGAGCGATTTTTTACATTCAAATCAATTCAGGTTGCAATCGGTGCAATTGATGGTCTCTCAGCTGCTCCAGATCGATCGGTTTTTGTCATTTCTGCTAACAACATCTACAAAATCAGTGTCCCTGTTGTGCGATTGAAGTGAACAAATCAATCAACTATTTCCAACAATAGAAAACTTATAATAAAACTCATGTTAAACATGTCAATTCATTGCTCATTGCTAAATTCCACATTCCAAAACGTGTCTCTCGTGCCTTCTTGCCATTTTTCTTTATGGAAATAAACTTATCGTTTTGACCCTCCCAGAACTATCACTCAACTACACAGTACAAAAACATTACAAGATCCAAATCTGGCTTGTAGCTGGCAGTAGTAAATACCGTATTTTCTCTAATAGTAATGCACCCCGGCGAGCCGAGTTGGTGACGATTTTACGGTTTCCAAGCTTTCGCAGAAGCTCAACACTCAAATCCCCCAGAAGATCTCATCGTCAGCTACATTTTTCGACCCCACATCGATAGGTTCTGATAAGCGGTTCTCGAGATTTCGAGCAATTTAGGCGACGCTCAGGGTGCACAACTATTAGAGAAAATACGGTATCAGGGTGTAAAGAAAATAATGCGCACCTCGAATTTTCTGGTGCTGACAATTTGTTAAGTCTTAGCTTACGTAATATTTTAAACAAAAATAAACTACACACTCAATAGATTGATAATCATTTCCCTTTTCACTTCGCTAATGGTTTTTACTGCAAAAAAAATGGATGACAACAAGCTCGTGCTTCCTTCAAACAAGGAAAAACCCCTGCTGAATCTCACCGTTCACTTGTCAAAGCTTTTGGAGATTCAGCTTTAGCTTTTGGAGTATCAGTGAAAGCCAGTGTTGTCGATGGTTTCAGCGTTTTCGAGATGACAATGAATGCCTCCACGATGAGCTAGAGACTGGACGCTCTCTAGAAATCTGAAATGACGATTTGTTCAATGCTATTGAAATTGATCCCACATTTACGCTTTGGGAATTAGCAGAATTTTTCGACGTTAACCTTGTGACAATTGGAAACCATTTGCATCAACTTGGGAAAAAGGTTCGACATGAAAAATGGGTTCCACATGAGATGGCCTAAGGTAACAAAATTGCTCGTGTCACCATGTGCTCTATCTTGCTTCAAAAGTGCAAATCATACAATTTTTTCGATCAGAATCTTGACTTCTGATGAGACTAGGATTAGTTATGACAATATCACTCGAAAAAAATCAATGTCTCTTTGCTGGTGAAGCCCCGCAAATCACCCCCAAACCCGATATCCATGGAATGAAGATCATGCTCTGTTTATGGTGGAATTCGAAAGGATTGATGCCTTCTGAAGTGCTAAAACCTAAACAAACAGTCGATCTTTACTCGAAACAACTAGTGAGTGTTAAGGAAGCTTTAAAAAATTGGGAATCAAACCGTCAAGAGTTCGATTTCTGCACGATAACGCTAAACCTCACACCGAAAAGCAAATCATAAAAAAATTGAGGAGCTAGGTGGGAAACTTTTGCCTCACGCACCTTACTCCCCTGACCTTGCACCGTCAGATTATTTTTTATTTCTGACGTTGAAACACTTCTTGGGAGATGTACAGTTTGATAATCATGCTCAATTCATAAATAAGCTGCACACCTATTTTACCTCTAATTCGAATTCGACGATACGATCTGGGATTTGCGCAGAAGATGGGAAGAATTCATCGATAATACCTTACCAATTGATCTTTGCTTCTTTGAGATTTTTTTTTCAATAAATATTTTTGTTCAAAAAAGGCGCATCATTTTTTTTACACCTTGATACAATTTGGAGAGGCTGTCAAGAGCTTAAAGAAAGCTTTTTATCTTTAAAGAAAGCTTTTTATCTTTAAAGAAAGCTTTTTATCTTTAAAGAAAGCTTTCCATCTTTAAAGAAAGCTTTCCATCATTAAAAATAACCGACCGAAACCCATAGTACCTATAATACTATGTACAGAATTTCTGACTTCTCTCAATTTTCATTATCCTTTCTCGTAAAGTCTCAGATTTTTTGATGAGGAGAAGAAAAAAAGGAAGACAGAAATAAGAAAATTTGATCGTAGATGAAAATTCCTGGGGGCCCATTAGTATTTGGAGAGCGGGAAGGAGGGAATTCCGATGCATACACGCACGGGTTCTCATAGGCTGTGTGTGTGTGTTTTTTTAGGCAAAAGTGGAAAGAGGAGGGGTGGGAGGGCCACCCCATCAGGGCCCTTTCCCAGCCCCACCCAGCCTTCCCCCATCGATCTCTCCCAATGTGAGACGGAAAAAAAAGGGAAGGGTGCAGCACCCTTTGATCCTTTTCCCTTCTTTTGTTCACCTCGGCTTTTCCCTCACTTCTCCGCATTTTTTTACTCACTACTCTTTCAACTCCTTCCTCTTTTTTTTTAATATTTTAGAGAATTGAACAATCTTTTGAATTGCAACAAACGAAAATGAGGAAAGGTTTTTCTGTATTTTATTTCCGCAAACGTCAAGACGAAATCCCAAGAAGCTTGTTCCGTTTCGGACGTAACATATACATGTGTGAGTGTGTTTTCTGTGAGAGAGCTGCCAATTAGCCACCGAGGGCCCTCCTCACACTGACTGGACCCTCTTTGCTATCTTTTTTTCTTCTTCACCCTGCATGGGTATCTATCCAACGGGGGTCCATGGTTCCCAGTCCCTTTTTGTGTCGGCCAGATCCAATAGAAGCCCGTTTTCTCCTCACTGAAGCCTCTTTTCTCATCCATCTTCTTTCCCATCTTTACTCTTTAGCAATTCGTGAACTTTGGAGTCTTGATCAGCTATATTTAATCATCTATAACTCTGAAAGATAACTAGAGCTAGCTCTAGCTCTCTCTCTCTAGCTCTAGCTCTCTCTCTAGCTCTAGATCTAGCTCTCTCTCTCTAGCTCTAGCTCTAGCTCTCTCTCTAGCTCTAGCTCTAGCTCTCTCTCTAGCTCTAGCTCTAGCTCTCTCTCTAGCTCTAGCTCTAGCTCTCTCTCTAGCTCTAGATCTAGCTCTCTCTCTAGCTCTAGCTCTAGCTCTCTCTCTAGCTCTAGCTCTAGCTCTCTCTCTAGCTCTAGATCTAGCTTAGTTTTTGATAAACCAAGCACAGCAACAGCAGCCATAAAAACGCGTGATTTTCGCGCAACACCCCTTTTTTTCATAGGGTACTAGTCGTTTTTGTCGGTCGGCCAACCAGGGGTTGACCTTGAAATGAGAGTTGTTGAAGGGGAGCACTCACCACCCTTTCTTCATACCTTTCCCCCTCAAAAATTCTCAATTCTCCATACATTTGTGTTATTTGGCTGAGAGGATCGAGAAAGAAGGGAAGAAAGGAAGAAGGGAAGAAGGGAAGAAGGGGACTCTCAAGAGGGTTCATCCTGAATACCCATGCGCCGATCTTACCTAGAAATGTCGCGAAAATTGAATCGAAAGTTTACTGTATCTACCTCTAATGTCTTACTTGATTCATTCTTTGCTATTTACATGCTATTTACAACTCAAAAACCAACTGCTTGCTGGTGCTAATAGTGCTAATAGTGCTAATAGTTTTTCTTCGTACCCTTGTCAAAAAGTACAAACTTTTCTTTGATTTCTGTTGGTTTTTTTATTGGCTCTTGGTTTCTCAATCTCGTTTCCCCCAAAAAATCTTTGTCCCAAAGCACATGTTACACCCCAAATTCGATCTCAGCCATCCCATCTTTCCATGGTAGCTTTTGAAAGAAAAAGCAATTTTTCAACAACCAACCAACCAATCGTCTAGTCTTTTTCTTTTTCAAGCGTTGCACATGTGTTTTACCAACTTTTCATTGATGTCTTTATAGAGATCTTTATAGATAAGTTGATTTGAAGCTCTTCATGACACATTCTGGTGAATTGTACAGTTTTTAGATGTCTTAGAAGAGTTGAGTACCAAAGATATTGGTAGATATTCAGCAACTCCAATTCAGCAGCTCCTGAGCTCTTTAAAACTGTCATTGCAAAATCTCAACTGTTTTAACAAAGCTATCGGTTAAATGCAATGTGCCCAAAAACAAAAGATTTCAAAGAATGCGCGAAAATGGAAAGAAGGATAAAGTAGAGAAAACGGAAAATTTGTGGAAACAAGGAACACAAAGAAGTTCGATTTCAATGAGAATAAAGATTTTGTTGAGGAGAAGAGAAGGAAGGAGAAGAGAAGCTGCACATGGCACACTATGAAAAGATCGACATTCAATGGGGAATCGTTTGTTGTCCACGAATCTTTGTTTATCTTAATTTCATTTTCGGAAGCGCATTTAATCACGAGGAACTCTGATAGAAACTTCTATGAAAGTTTGAAATAAAATTTGAAATATCAAAGCTCGAATTTATCGCTTGACTTTATCTGTTTTAAACTTTTATAGCATTGTATCGATAATAGAATGATCTTTTATAGCGATCTCGATATTCACCCTTTAAGCAATGAAACTCTTCTCAAAGATTTGATTGACTTGGGTCAAGAAGGCAGCTATCCAATCACACCCAATAAACCCTTGCAATCCTGTAATGCAGTCAATAATTTCCCTCTGAACTTATCTCCGTTTTGATGTACCATTACGTGATGGTCTCCTTATCTTTTTCCTTTTCTATTCACCAATTCCACTTTTTTTCTTTTTCTCCAAACAAGCCCTTTTTTTGGGTGTCCACCCCAATGTGGACACCTTATCAAAAGGGAAAAATTGCTCTCGTTTTCTGTGGTGTGTTTGGGGATTCTGGTGAAATAATCAAAAGAATTCATGGAGAAAAGTTCTCCCTTTTGGTGCTCACCAAAGGCATCTTTGCATCCTTAACTTTTGTCATCTAATAGAGTGATCTTTTGTCATCTGTCACCTTCTTTCCTTTAATATCATAGATCAAGCTTACAGATTTCTTCAAACTTACATTTGTTTTCCTTTGCAAGTCTGCAAATGTCATCTGATACTTTTTTTCCACTTTCACATTGCATTTATCTTCTTTTTCTTTTCAACATTTTCTAAACCTTTCCCCCAAACAGTTCTTATATTAAATCCAATGTGATTAAGCTGTTGCCTGAGTTTTTATACATATCCAATACTAAAAGAAAACATTAAAGCTCAATCTACCCTATG